AGACACGTTGATTCAGTGGTGGTCTTTATTCAGTGACAGTGGAGTTTCCAAGCAGGGGACTGAATCAGTGGTTTCCTTCCCCTGCAGAGTGTTGGGCAATCTCCATCCAGACTTGGAACCAAGATTTTCCATATAATGCACGTAATGCAGTTGACCAACTGAGGAGCATCGGGTGGCTGGAAGTCTGAACACATCCTCAAGAACAGAACTGACACTTAGCCCTTTGAGGAAGAAGTGAGTCCAAGTCAAAATGCTTGCCCTTTCTGGCTTTGTTTGGGCATATGCACGAACTAAAGGACCACACATTGCAGCCACTCACAGAAATCAGTAGCATTGTCATCAGGAGCTTTGTCATCCAAGGTGCGAGTGTGCCTAGTTTCAGTTCTGACTTCATCTCCATCAAATCTGCACAGGCCTTTGTGAAAAACTCACTACATCCAAGAGGGAAAGCTTTTTGGTGCCTCCAGCTTGTCCTGAAAACCTTGTTTATGGGACCAAGAGCCAAAGGCAGAAACACACCAAATAGGGGCCTTTAAGATCACACAAATGTAAAAGCTCAGCTTTTACAGCTTAATTAGGATGTAAGTTGTGACAAACTTCAGTGACCCCCGTAATGTCAGTGGGAGCTTTGCAACGGCCTCAAGAGGCCAAAGACTTGCCAGGCTCGCTCCTTCCTTCCTTCCAGCCCCAAGAACTGTTGACAAGCTGCAAGAGGCACCTGCCACCCCAGTAGAGATGGCCCCAGAAAGGGGGAAACAAGCATTAGAGCAAAGCATTGAAATGCTAAAAACAGGAAGGAAAAAATCCTCTCTGGGAAGGTGTGTGAGATTTGGGAAGGTGTGTGAGATTTAGGGGTTTGGTGCTTGGACCCAACAGCAGCTGATGGGGTTAACAGGATTGCCCAAGCTCCAGAGGGCCACCCTCACAGAAGTTTTTCTCATGTAATTTCTTGTTTGTGCCCATTGCCCCTGTTTCTTTCACTGGCACCACCGAGAGCAGTCTGGCTCCTTCATGTTTAACATCCCTGGCCCCACCAGGAATTTGTACACAGGGATGAGGACCCCTCAAGCCTTCTCCAGATGGACCCGCCCCAGCTCTCCCAGCCTCTCCTTGCAGTGATGGCTCCCACTGGTGAAGGGCTGTGTGCTTCCTTCCTGCTGCTGCCCTCCCTGCACCTGCTGCTCTCACTGCATCAAAGACATGGAACCACTCAGACAATCTTCTCAGTCAATAAATGGAGCAATTTAGTCTATGCTGTGAGACCACGGGCTTCATGGAGGCACCAGGACTCCTGTTAGCAGAGCCACTGACTTCACAAGGAATAAACGAAGAGGAAAGTTCATGGCATGGGCTTTGCATGGATGTTCTTGGAAGTTCATTTGGTTTTATGTCTGGGTCCTACAGGCTCTTCAAAGCTAAGACAGAGAGCCTACCTTTTTCTATAGTAAACAAAGGTGATGATGCAAAATGTGCTGTAAAACAGAAACGACTCTGAAGATCAAATAAGCAATGATATTGTAGAGAGTTAAGATGGTGAACCCAAGCATGATTTTATACCAGCTTTCATATCAAAAGATAAAACCAAACTCCACTGTCAGGCATTTAGCTCATTAGTTTATAACAGGTATTGCATCAACAGCTAAGAAGATCCTGTCTCAAAATACTTCTGAGATAACAAAAGTTAGACTTTGAGGCTACAGAACAGCCTGGAAGCAAGCTGGAAGGAAATGCAAATCCACAACATTTTCAACTGTTGTCAGGATTGCCAATTATTTCTATTGTACAGACAAACGGAGATACCTGCTTGCTGCCAGAAGATGTTCTTGGAGGCTTTAACCAGTAAGAGAGTTAGTTCCCTTTCACTGGGTCTTAGTAAATCCCTTGGAGACATTTTACATATTGATATTTTAGCTTAGCTATTCTATGGGGCCAGTATCCAAATGGCAGCAATAATGGTGTGTCAATGTTTATTTTAATACACCATCCCCACTCTATTTTCTCTCGTAAACAAACAGGAAATAAGGGGAAAAAAATCACAGTGACAGGAGGATACAGCCTTTTACCAGCCTGCGCCAGAACCATCTACAAAGCACGGGCCCAAACCAAGCACCACTGTTCTGCTACCATCGGTGGTCAGGTGTTTGTTACTAAACAAAATACCTTGTTGAAATTCATCTGGTTTTCAAAACCTTTATGATTCCTGGAATTTCCATTAAAGTTTCAAGGAGTGCTGCTGGTAATCTGTTGTTACAGAAGCAGATGCCATTTCCAAAGAAGATCAAGCGTGTGCTGAACTACTAAGAGGCATCTTCTCTCTTAGTAAAAGCTTAGTCCCTGAACCACTCGCTCAATCTTACTTCACGCAAATAAGCCACAAACACCTACAGAAAATCTTTCAGATTATAGTAAAGCATTTTCCCACCAGTGATTTGTGTAATTGGAAAGGAATGGGAAAGTTGTCACTGATAACTTGGCCTCTAGAATTTTCCATAGTAAAAGCTGTCAATGTATCAGCTTTATCTTACGTCTGTGTATGAAACAACAAACTAATTCCCTGTGACAGATAAAACAGGTGATAGGTAAAAGGAACTGTGGCAGAGGATGAGGAAGGAGTCGCCAAGAAGGGCCTATTTTCTCTTTGTTCCTTCCCAGCAACTTTAAATTACCAGTGTTTCCTGCTCACCTGGACTTTGCCCATTGCAGACTAAGCAGGCGTTTTACAACGTGAAACACATACATAATATTGTACTGTTGTAACAGAAAATAAGGCTGGCTGGAAAGCTCCATCGATTTTGTGTTAAAGTCGGCAGGAAGTGAGGAGGGTGGTGAGAAACTGCAGCCAAGGCCCCAAGGCCTAATAAATAACCAAGGTGATGGGATTCCTGTAGCCCTGTACAGTACAGCCATACAGACGGATGGCTGAAGATGCCAGGGCTGGCCCCAGCCGGGAGCCGGGTGATAGGCCTGGAGACCGCTGCTCCTTGTTGACCCAGGAGCTGGCGGATTGCTGCCAGCAGCAGGGCAGATTTCTCTCACTGCCCTGCCAACAGGGCGTCTCATCTCCAAAGGTCCCGTACCCAAACATCAGAGAGGATTCACCACCACGTCTCCTCAGACCCCTCTGGGTGATGCCACCGTTGGCAGATTCCAACCGGATTTTCTTTCCCAGCCCTGTGAGCAACTCTGCTGGAAAAAAATAGGTCATCTCCAAGCACCATCTTCCTCTGAGTGCTGCTGCAGTGACCACCCCTCTCCCGGGATGCTTCTGTTGTACCTAAGGAATGTACAGCTCCACACTTTGCGCTGAGGGAAACAAACAAAAGGAGAAGATGCATTTCCTGCACTGATTAGACGAAGAACTCCTCTCAGTGAAGTATTTTGCCCTCACTGTGTTTAACACACGACTACTGCACTGATTTACAAACCCTCTTCGCAACTAAACAGATTGTCATAGCTACTTTAGTCCGACAGGATGATTAAAGGAAGCAGTCCTATAAAAATCACTTGTTTTGAAATGATTAAATTAAGAAAGATGGGGCTTCATGTCTCATGAAATAGACTCTTGGGTGATGCCTCTGCTGCTTTCAAGATTTTAAAAACATTATTAGTTTTAGAAAAATAATATATCTGAAAAATATCTGCTTTCAGAGCTCATCCTGAACTATCACTTCACTTCTGGACCCTAGTCCAGCTGTTGTGTTAGTGACATTCCAGTCATCCAGCATATCTGAACAAGGTTCCATCCCATCCCATTCCCTCTGGAGGAACAGGCTTCCCTGAGCCAGGTGGGGCCACCACCACTCAAGAGGTAGGACAAAAGCTCTGGATTATTGGCCACACATTTTCAGTGTGTGTAAGCTCCATTTGCAAACGCTAGCTCCTTGCAAACACTTGCAAACACTGCCACTATTGTGGTATCAGGAGAGTCAAAGCTGGCTGTGTAGTACAACAAGCTGCTGCACTGTCAGTGCCGTACAGCACAGTTTTTATTATGTTTAGGATCTTTACCTTGTTTAGAATGCCTTTTTGTTCTGAGCTGAGCCTTACACTCTGTAAAGCACCTGTGATGCTCCTACAGATGTGTAACAGAGACCCTAAGTCTGGCTGCCCCTGTGTCAGGCAACTCCTGTCCGCTGCCCCAGTGTGGGGTACACAGCCACAAAGCCCCTGAAGGGAGAACCCAAACCAGCACAGGGCTGTGGCCAGTAAAACACTGGTTCATGACCACGAGGAATCGCTCAGTTTGCTCACAGAATCAGACAAGAAAGGTTTAAGCCAAAGGATTCCCAGTGCAGCCCCACCAAAGTATATTTCAAGGAATTAGTACATACATGTATGCTTTGTACTAAAATGCTTATTAGATGGGTTGACCTAGAGGAACACAAACAGAAATAAAAGCCAAGCAATATAGTATCACAGCTTACTTCTCGGTTCTTCCCTAATGACGGATCCACAGGTGTGAGGGCCAAACAGCCAGTTACAATTATTTTGGCTAACCTTTTATTGAAGGAATTAGGGATCCCAGTAAGAGGTGGAGGTCGGCCACAATTCAGACAGGACTAGGACAATTTCGGAAAAACCTCCAGTCAATCAAAGAAGAAAAAGCCCCCAAGATCTGGCTTTCAACCTGCAAAGCATATACCTATGCTGCAGACACTTGTAGCTTCATTTGTGTCCTCTAACCTTGTCTGCCTTCAAACCGACACTGTGGGTCTCTCTACATCACCGTATAAAACAATTTGTGTGTACAAGTAAAAACTGGTACTAACTCCAAGACTCACCAGTTCAGCTACACCGTACCAAACTCTGACCACATCAGCAGAGTATTTCTTACTAAGCACTTAAGACTCAAATTACACAATACTTTCCCTCCCTCTTTGAATTCCTTGATTAAAGCAACAATCATCCCCAGACACAAATGGTTCCTCATAGCCTGTGCTGCCCTGGCCCAAACTTTGGGGAAATAACCATGTTTCAGCGCTTCACACTGCGATACTCACCAGGATGCGACATCAGGACGGTGCTGTTGCCTTTGCCCAGCTTGTTGTAGATCACAGCTGCTGCCGCACCCCTCCTGGTTGCCACTTGAATTTTTTCAGTAAAACTGCAATTGCCTCTCTCAATCAGTGCTATCCACGGTGGTTTTGTGACGGTGAAGCGGGTATTTGCATCACAGGCTTCAAGATTATCAGACACAGGAATGCCCACAAGCCCCTGAGCACTAAGTAGAGGCGAATTTAATCCGTACAGTCCACATACGCAGTGGTCGGACACAGACTTGTTGCTAGTGGTGTCGAAATAGAATAAACTTAGAGAAGCACGCACAGAAAACGCTTCTGTAGTCTTAAATAGAATACTGACAACCATCAGGTGGCAGAAAAAAATGAACTTCTCCACTTGCTTCATTGCTGATTCACAAAATGCAGACGTCTACAGATATTTGCTTCTGGTGGCGACAGTCCTCGGCTCACAGTCTGCCGAGGGTTTGACGTTTCTGTTCCAACAGGAACTTGACACCACCCAGGTGAGTCCTCAAGGTGTCAGTGAACTTATCTGGAGTGGAGGCTGGGAGCAGACACAAGTGACACACCTGCCTGTTGTGAAGTCCAGACACAGACTGAAGGACGTTCAGCTCTGACTTCCTGCTCCTTTCTCATGAAGAATCTTTCTCCACACCCTTCCCTCCCATTCTGCACAAATTCTAGCTCTGATAATGCTTCCTAAGGGACAGCTCGAGCCCCCTGCTCCTGTTTCAACACTAACGTCACCTTGGAGGAGCAGGTCATCTTTCATTCAATGACGTAAGCTCAGGGCTCTCTCTTCACAATGCATCTGTTATGCAAATGGCCTTGTTAGAAAGGTCAAAAGCAGAGGGAGGGAAATACAAAAAGAATTTTACCCATCTTATAGGCTAAGACAACCAAGTTGCTCCCTGCATTTCTCCTTTTAGCTTCTTTCAGTCATCAATTCTGCCAGGTCCAGCTTGTTCTGGTGTTTATAATGGACTGATTTTAATATTGATTAAAGTATGAGATATAGAATCACCAAAACTGATCACAAACTACCACTTCCAGCCCATTTTCACACTGTAGTTCACAATTTATACCGAGATGTTCAAATGATTATCACACAGTTCTCAATTTCTGGAAGTAGGCTTTTCTGGAAGTATTCTTTCTCCGAACTCAGGCTGTTGTATTCTGTAACAATTACAAATATCAACTATTGTTTTCTTATATTTGAATAGAAAAATGAAAACTGTACTAATGTAAGAACTCTGTAGTCCACAAATCATAATGTTAGAGACCTTTTTCTGTTTTTTTACAAAAGTCATGCTGCATGCAGTGATGAAAGCCAAGGGAAGCTGCAGCTGGGGGCAGACAATTTGATGGAAGCTCAACCTAGTTCTCCTGTAACGATTCTTTCCAAGAGTGAACATGAATGACTGTGGCAAGGATTTTTGGGAAACCAAAACAGCTTTCATAAGTGAAAATAAAAACAAATCGAAATAAATAATCCAAGTTGTTTACATATATTTATTTACTTATATTCTCCAAGTTTTCAATGTTGCACTAGTTCTACATCACATTAATTAAAAAAATGATCTTACCGCTAAGATCTAACACTTACAAAGTTTTATACACATAAAAGTACCATTAGCTACAGAGTTTATCTTCCCCTGTTTTTCCTTGAAATTAGTGCTGGAAACATAAGAAACATGGAAATTTAAGATTTTACGGTACAGTTCTTCGGTTGGGTACGAATTCTACAGTTAGGGAATGTGCTCTTGTATTTTACCCTCAGCAGTGGCAATACACAGCAAGAAGGATGATTCCTATGGCATTCTGCAGGAGTAAGAATCTGTATGTTGGCTTAACACGGCAAAATCAACATGCTTTGACAGACCCAGCATGAAAAATACTTTGGTTTTGTACTTGTGTCAATAAACACCACCTGAAATAAAACAGCAAGTACTTTCTTTGCAGACGGGACCTTTGCCCCAGTGCTACAGTGCTGGTTTGGCAGGGAGGAGGGAGACAGTGGTGGAGCCATATATTAAACACTGCAAGACTTCAGAAACTGAACTTGGCATAGTAAGTTCAGTGTGACGTAAGGGATGGGGTAAGTGCTGCTGTAGAATGACCCAGAGTATTGAAATTCTGGGTCTACTACAGGCATTGAATATTCTCTAGCTAGACACAGAGAGCCTGTGTATTTCACATTGGCACTTCATTCTGCAAGATTAAATCTCTCTCCTTCCCAGCTTTTGCCATGAAAAATTTCAAATGACACTTCCGTAAAATAAAATTACATTCTTTAAAGTCTTACGTGTGCATTACACACACTCCACACCATTCTGGTATTTCTTTTAGAGTTAGGAATTCCTAACACGTAGGATGAAACGATTAATGCTATACGTTTAAAGTGTAGTAAGCAGTGCAAGGTGGCAAACACCCTTTGGTGCATTTCTACTGCATGGGGTGGAGTGGCTAAGACAAGAGAATAAAGTGGCACTCTGTGACAGTGCCAGCCACCTCTGTCTTTTCATACAAAGATAAATATTTAAAAAACTGCTTCTAGAAATAATGGTTTCATTAAAATCAGACTTCGACCTGAAGTATATCTAAATAAAAAAATACTTGCTGACACAGTCAGTGTGGCTCAGTTTGGTATACGAAGTGCTGGTGCTAATCCCTCTCTCTAGAGCAATGGCGTCTTAATTGTCACATACCCCAAGACACAAAAATACACAATAACGTAATGCAAGCACCATTCATCCTGCTCTTGTGGTGGTATATTTTCACTTTGCCTCCTGTGGCAAGGTTACAAGGTACTCTGAAAGGCATGGGTTGACAAACATTGCTCTAGAATTAATACTGTATGATCCATACAAAATATAAACATACAATACATAGTCACATTTAACTTTTAAACCCTGTACAACTCAAGTTAAACTTTTTCCATTAATATATTTTTAAACTGTAAACCACAACAGACAGGGTAATTTTACATATTTCCTTAGAATGTTAAGATTTTCCCTTCTTATCTAAAGATATGAACTTGTACTATAATAAGCAGAAATGTTTCTCCTTCAATTACCATTAACTGAAGTCAAGGTACAGAATTTAAGTACTTGAAGACAAAGTCCACTGTCCCCAGGGCAGACAAGTGAACTACTTGAAAGAGATATTCCTCAATTACCAACAGGCTGCTAACACATGCCTAGAAGTTTCCCACAAAATAATGTTCCTGTAAATCAACACTGTGGGGTTTGGTCAATAATGCTAAAATTTAATTGGCAAGCTTCCATAATGCAATCATTTCTTCTCAAAGAATGGAACTGAGACCAGCATTTCACATGGACAAGTTGTCAAATAGCAGTGTGTTTTAGCTCCTGCTTAAGTTCTTAGGGATTCAGTTGTGTAAATGATTTGAGGCTGTTTCACATGGGAGGAAAAAGGGGGACTTAGTTTTGAACTCAGCAGGAGCCAGCTGCTATTTAGCATACAGGCAAAAAGTTGTCAGAATTTTACAGAGTCTCTTGCTCTTGCAGTAGTAGCAGCTTCTCACAGCTGCTGAGCTCCTTCATGTATTCAGAACACAGCTATTACTACAAAGAAAGACGATAGTACTGATCAACAGAAAAATCCCCAATCATGTGACAAACGGGATCCTGCCATGCTAAGCACTCCTTAAAGTCAGTTTTGCTCTTGCAAAGCTAGAAGCAACTTCCACTAATAAAGTTTCTTTTTTTTTTAAATATTTAATAATTTTTTTAATTAATAAATAAAATATGTTAAAACACTTTGGTTTTTTACACTTACTACCCAAAAATGTATATACAAAAGCAGCCATACAAAAAAACCCAGCAGTTGACCTTGTTCAGGTAAGAAGAACTGAAAATGGTTTTTGGATCACCAAAAGCCCAGACCTAAGTACTGAAGGCACCATGGTATTTAATTGTTTTCTCAAAACACAGTAAGCTTCAAGATTGTCACTAAAAGATCACTACAGAACGTAACAGTTCTAATCCTCAAAATTATTCTAATTTCCAGCCTGAATTTTTATCACAGCCTGTTAATTCTTTTGCAAACATTGCCTTTAATTGGGAAAGCCTGCCCCTCTTTTCAGTTCTCAACCTGATACATACATTTCCTGTGTACGTATGCGCAAAGGCAGAGAGAGATGGCAATCATACTGTATCATGGTATCAAAAGATAAATTCACTGTATTGTCCATTCACCCTTCTTGAACATAAGTGACCAAGACATTGTGTAATCTGTTTCAAGAGGTCTCCTTCTCAGCTACACAGATGTCCATTACAACTGCTGTAAGAAACATAATTTTACATTTGTGTCTGCTAGTTCTAGGAAAGTGCAATATATAGAGGGTATATTCAAGTTACAGCAATTTTATTTCCCTCTTTTTGAGCAAGATAAATTTGAAAAATAAGTTATTAAATTACACTGCATCCATCACATTGGGTTCCACTGTCTTGTAGATTTTGCTTAGAAAGACTTCCACCTTATCACCACCCAAGTGACAGATGTCCAGGATGCAGACAACATGTTTGCCATCTAGATCCATCGCTGCTTTTACAATTTCATCTAGAAGTTAAGAAAAGGTGTTTTAATATACATACAGTAAAAAGGTATACTGGATTGACATTGTTTTCCATGCAGTAATGTGTGTATGTTCAACCTTCTTTCAGTGAAAAACCTCATTCTAACTATTAAATGCTGGCTTACTGGGGTTTGGGTTTTGTTTTTTTGGCAGAATTTTACTAGTAAATTTAATTCCTAGAAATAACACGGATCCAGAACTTGGATACAGGAAGGCTGAAACAGACATTCCTTAACCATTAGCGATTCTCAGGTCCCATAGTATTATTCAAGGAAAGGTAAAGATGCATTTAAATAAAATCAAGTCTGTCTATATAACCATGCAGGAAAATATGATAATTACACATCATTTTACAGTATGATACACATTAACAGTGTTCACCATATTTGTTGTGAGGTGCTGGTAATTAGAAACATAATCTGAAGGCAAATAATTCAATAGCAGGCAAACACTTCCATTTACAGGTGCTTTAGGTTTCATTAAAGTAAATGTTCAAAGGGACATCAATGAAATGGATTGGCTGAGTGACTGTTATTCCACTCTATTTCAAAGCAGATCAAGCCAAATATTCACATACTCAGCCACACATCCTGGCTTCTATCTCAGCATAATTTTGCATCAACAAGTAACTGCAAATACTATCTAGGTCACTTAGGAGTTAGTAAAATACTATCTTCAGAATATGAGAAAAGCTCTGGTAAAAACTGCCTTGGAAGTTCAGTATTACATCTATTTACTGAAGGTGGCCACATAGAATTCATGCATCTTCCACTGAAGATATGAACGTGCCTGACTTACAGCAGAGATTTCTATAGAGGATTAACTCTTTTACTCAAAGATAAAAGAAGAAACTAAACATGAGTAATGTCAGTGAAAGCCAGACTCACCTGAAAGTGGAAACATGCCAGGAAGTCTTCCATTGCTACTGGCTGTCTGCTGACTTTCAGAGATGCAACTCATACAAGACAGTAACGTATCATTTTGAATGTCTTCTAGTTGAAATAAGTGGGGATCATCAGGACAAAACAGTGGAAGAAATGCAACATCTATTGCTACATCGTGGTTTATACCTGTTGAAAAAAAAAATTAAGTTCTTCAGCACATTAGCAACTTCATGCACTTTGTTCTTTTACCATTAAGAGATAACTGATGTCTGAAAATGCATTTCAAGATATATGTGTATATATATTCATACAGAAGCACATTCAAATTGATATGAAGTTATAACATACTGTGATTTAAAGCTAACTGTTGTTAGCTTAGAAAACATTAAACCAACATTGGAAGCCATTTCACACTCCCTTTTAACTTTATCACTGCTACAAGGGTAGAGAAATTAATTTTCCAACCAGTGTATCTATGCAGTATGTGGGGCAGTACTTGTGCTACTTTCATCTTGAATATTATATTGCAAATTGCAAGCCTCGGGATTCTAATGATTGTAAATATTCAAACACCTTCTCTGCAAATCTCCCTTAGCAAATAATGGAAACTTCTAAATTATGGGAACTTCACATGAGCATTGTTATGCTAGGCAATTTCTTTCTCTTAATGTGAAAAAAGTATCAAACAGATTAATATCCCACAGTAATGTTAAGAGCTACACATCAACTTGCATATTTATATTTTAACAAACAAAGATCAGTCAACCGACACTCTGTGCTAAACAGAAGCTCCTGAGAGCAGTTGGGGAATACAGCTGAAATACAGCCAATCATTTTCCAGCATGAAATACAGGCACTTTAGGAGCAACAGTACTCAAAAAAAAAAACAACAAAAACAATTCAAAAAACAACTCACTGAGAATAAGGCTCAAAAGAAGCATTTATAATTGTCCTTCTCCCTTTAAGAACACTAACTTGCTTCTGTTGAATACCTCTCCAGCAGGAAAGCCAGCTGACAATCAAGTACAATTGAATAATTTACTTGATTATGTCAGACTGGTTGAACTAGTGAGCAGGATCTACCTCTACCTCTAACTGTAATAACAGCTTAAGGACTACACACATTCTTCAAGTGATACACATAAACCATGAAAAATATAAACTATATGAAAACAGATACTAGAAATAAGATATTCAGTCATTTCATTTAAAGGTATTTTCAATGAGAATTACAGCTTTCTGGTACTAAGTCATGACTCTTAACAGAAATCTAAAATGTCAATCTTTTTAAAATTCAGGAAATGCTCAGAATCAACTGACTAATTTTGAGAAATCCATTCAGTTTCTGACAAACCTTCAAGTCATTCTCAAGTGAACGAAGCAAAGAGTTAAGAGCTCATATTGCTTTTGCTTAACCATTTTTAGAGGCTGAGCTACCAGATACCTACCCAGGACTGTCACTTCATAATACCCAAGGCCACTAGCACTTTTAAAGTCACTGATATTTTTATGTGTTCTGGTTTCTTTTGGCTGGTGCACTGCTGCATGAAGGTTGTACTGTTGCATAAGCAAGTCTCTGTGCACATAATCAAATTTACGTGGTATGCTTTCTGGGAAAATTGTGCTGTGATGCAAATATTTCATTAACTTGTCTTTCACTTGTGCCCACAGGTCACTCTGCCACAAACCACAAGCTCTTCCAGCCTCTTCAGTTTCAAGTGTATCACTCATTCCTTCTTGGTCTATTAAAAACAGAGAAAATATTTAGTTGCCTATAGGCCATAGAATCATATTGCTTCTCTGCTAGATAAGAAATATTTTCATTAGAACTTTTCAATTATGAAGACATGGCAGAATGTTCAAAACTTACAACACAACAAATCAAATTAGGTTTGGAACATGGACAAACTGGTAACCTTAGAGGCTAGACTAGTAGTAAAAATGCATTTCATCATATGAAGAGCATCACTGTGGCTTGTTTTTGGCAAGCACAAAACTTGTTTAACAAACACCATGAAAACAAGTTTAAAATGCGTACAAATGAAGGTAAACTTTTCCATCCCTTGCACAGTAACTATATGTTTACACTGAGATTATGCTACCTTTACAATTTCTTGCTATATATATATATATACATATAAAACAACATGGGGTTGTTAATGGCAGCTGTGTTAATACAACCATCACCTCCAGTTTGAAGAAAAGTGTTAAACCCTGCTTTTTGAGCTTATCAGAAAGCTCATTTCAAAATATTCCCAGCACAGCCTTGCACCTCCTCCATCTTCCGTGAAACAACTTCTCATCACATAGCCTTCTCTAAGAACACTGGCATTTTTACTTCCTTTTAGTGTCATAATTGCTATGATGTTCAAAAAGGAAGAAACCAGAATGTAGTACACAAACTTGACACAACATACACAAGAATATTCAACAACGAAGAAGTCTTGCTGCATTCAATTAGACAACAAAGGACCATGAATTTAAAGAAAAATGACACTGCTGCTGAAATGGAAAGTGTGTTCAGGTCTGCATAAAGCAGTATTTTTCTCACAAAACTGGAATGCATCATATAAGATAAAGTGGCACATGAAAGCTGCTACATGAAGAAACATTTTAATCACCGTTTTACTTAGAGAATTACAGTATTCTCTACAAGCATGAAGAAGTAATATTATACATTAGGCAAATAAAATACAAAAAAAAGTTTCAGAATATAAGTAGGTGGATTAAAAAAAAACCCTTCTCTTTCTAAAACTTCAATCATAACTTTACTTTTCTCCCTCAATATATAATTGGCACCATAATCTGTGTGTCCTGCTTGTACACTCATTGACTTAGCATAAACGTGTAATTAGGAGAACACAGTAAAAAAAGCCACCACTGGTTATTTAAACAATATGATGCTGAAATCTTTAACAATCTGACTGCAGTTTAGAGAAAAATAAAGCAAATGTTTGAATTCCTCTAGCTACAGACAGCCTCTTGGCAGCAAAGACTACTTTCTGCTTTAAACCAATTAAAACCATAAAAATGGCGATGGTGAACATTGAAACACATGATTTCCCACAAAAAGGAACTGAGATGAACCCTATGTTCATCTCAGTTCAATCAGCAGAAGGATTTTTTTTTAAACTTACTGTATATTTATAGTATACAATAGATGTTTCTTCTTGTAAAAAATTAGAAGTTAATTTGATTGTCAGCCTACACCATTACTGTAAAGTTCCATTCTTGCAAACACTTTTGCTAGTAAACCTGAGTCAGTGCATTTCTACTTCAGTTACTCATGTTATCTTATAGCACAGACTGCACTCTTACTTCTTTGTACCTCTTGCAAAAAATAGTACCTGGAGTAAACAAAATTCCAGTGAATGAACCATATTCCAATACTGCTTGCTGCCTCATGAAATTTCAATGTTTAAAAAGACACTAATAATTTGCTTCGGATATCTCTGTTAGCTCTTTTTGCACATCTACCCAATGACTGCTAAAAAGGTGTTACTTTGATGCAGGCTGCTATGATATGGAGAGCAAAGTGTCAGCACCGCTATACATAGCTATAAAGGGAGGAGGGAGGGAAATCTCATGTTCCCATAAATAGCTTCTAAAGGCAGTTTCCTTTGCTGGTATTTAAAAAAATAGGGCTCTACCTGGGACCATGGTAACAATGCTACGAAGCTCAAAGTAAAACTTCTCCATTTTATATAGCACCTATGTCCTGAACTTCCAAAATATGAAAGAACACAGCACGGAAGCATTCAAAAACCGTGTAGATGAGGCCCTTGGTGATACGGTCTTGGCAGTCCTGAGGTAATGGTTGCACTTGATGGTCACAAAGGTCTTTTCCAACCCAGTTAATTCTATGATTCTATAGCAAAGTGCTGACTTTGATACATATGCCATACTTAATAGGCTTGTTAAGCAGAATATAAACATACTGTTATTTAGATAAAACTAGCATTGGACAAACACTGTTTTATATAAGACTAATAAATACTGCCAGGAGGACTGACGTTATGTGAGAAAAACATGTGCATATGTTTAGCAGCTACATTTACTAACATATTCATATAATTATTGCATACTTACATTAGATGAGAGACTGATTAATTTATTTTGGTCTACACTCAAAATATCAGCCAACTGAAGTTATATAGGGTTTCACATGCAGTGAGGAAATATCAGTGGAAAAGTTTAAGAATAAAACTACCTAAAGATATCTGTATTTTAGATACAGGCATCTAAATAAAGGAATCTAAATATAGTATCTAATGCAAGATTTCTTTAGGACACATAAAAAATTAAGCATGTATTTCACTGGTAATATTACCATTCTTTTTTTTTTTTTTGTTGAAAACCAGCCTTTTAAACAGCATACATGCATTCATTTTATGAGATCTTGATTGTACCACAACAATTCTAGAGAGAGTAACAGCATATAAAATAAACACTACAGGTAGCAGAAATTCCTCTAAAATTCAGGTGAAAACACTCAATCTGATTTCTTGGTTTTAAAAGCAGTAAGAAATTTCACTGAATACTAACAACTAATAAATCAATTAATTATCAGTTTCTTACAGATGTCTTAATTCTGAAGAACAGATCTCAACATTCCACCTGAGGCTGCTCTTTCTCTGGAATAAATCTTCACTTTAAACAGTTACTTGTACAATTTTTTCTCCAATCTGGAAGTTCCCTCATCACTTCAGTCTCTGAATATATTAAGCATTTAGGAAAATTAACTAATTTCTACTGCTTTAAAGCAGCACAATGGAGTAATCATCATCAAAAGGCTACAAGGACAACCTACTGTGGTCATTAATAAATGAACTGCTGCCTTGCCAAAAATAGAAGGATGGACAACATTACACATAATATAGTGATACACAGAAATAAATTGGCAGATGTTAATGTTGGGACAGATGCTAGGAGTAGACAAACTTTTAGATGAAATTACATGACTCAGAGTATATTCAGTCAGCTTTGAAAAGAGGAAAACGTGTCAAAATATTTGCATGAAATAAAAAACAGACCAAGCTGCACATAATGACAACTGACAAATTAAGACTCCAAAATAGATAGGAAGAAATTAACTGCATAGAACACAAGTTTATTCTTCAATTGCAGAGGAAAAGAGAAAAAATTAAAAATATTAACTTAGAAAAATCCCTAAACCAAATGCCATTCTTATTACTGGCTTGTAGTAAGAATGTTTCATCCCTTTCCCACATCTTGTATTTATCTTTTTAATCAGGTGCTCACAAAGCTCTGGGACAACTTTATCATATGTAGACCACTACAGCAAGAAAGCTGAACAGAAAAGATAAGGTCTGATGCTACCAAGTGCTTCAGAGGTACAAAACTAACTTAAAACTTGTATAAAGCCCATGCTGTCCTTCCAGCCATCCTTTATAACAAATCAGGGACATGACTGAGCAGAACAGCATTAACAATACTTTGCTACAGTGGCTCCCTAGAGGTTGATGCAGCCAGATGCTCAGAAGAACTGTCCCAACAAACAAAGGTTATACGGATATCTCTGTTGCCTGTTTTGGACCGAAAGAGAAGAAGTAAGCTTAAACCTCCTAAGGTTAATATAACAACTATTTGCAACGTACCTGTGGAGTGCTGTGAACTGTCTGACAGAGTCTGTCTATTTTTATCTTGCACAGTATCTTCATGTTGAAACTCATCCAAGCTATAAAAAGAAAATTATAGCATATGCATTTAAAACCTATTTAACCTCAAACACTACGCAGCATAAGTTCAAACCTTGACAAATTTCTAGTGGTAAATCATACAAGCTCAGATGAGTGAGCACCAGTACCTGGTTTCATATCATGAGACATGTAATACAGCAGCTTAACATGAGACCTACCACACTCAGTAAACCAGTTTGGAAGAGCTTAGGACAAGAACTACTTATTTCTTTGCTTTATGGAGCAGATAAGAATGTATTTTACATCATTCTATGATGATTCAATGACTCATTATAGATTTACACCCAAAACCCAGTGTCTACACTCAAAAAAACCCAGTGTTTGTTGCCCTCTACTGGGCACCTCCTGGAAAGAGCATGTTTCACTAAAATCTGAACATCACAGATGGCCAACAGGTTTATGATTTGATTCTAAAACACAGATGCACAGGACGCTGCTACACTTTCATAGCAGAACCCTTCAGTAGTCAAAACTAAAGCATGAATGGAGCCATGTCACCACTCCAGAATCCAAAGAGATACAGAAATTCCAAATGCGTATTTTCCTGTGGACATACAACCCTGTTGTAACAACAATCAGTTAAATCAAGCAAACTAGATTTTTGTTATACTTTGTTTTTTGAATCACAAAATTTTTATTTAATGGTAAGCAACTGGCCTGTAACCATCTCTAACTAACTACCTAGGATATCATGCAGAGAAAAATGTAACAGATACTCTGCAGCCAGCTCATGGTAAAATAAGCTCTTAAACTCACTCCTTTTTAATTTGCTGCATTCTTGTTGATATAAACTCACTACGATCACTGAATAAACTTAGAAAAAAACCAACCAATCCAGCGTTTCAGAATATAATAATCCAATATATTTGAATTAGAATCAGTGCAAAGGAAGTGAATAGAAAATATGAAATTCCCCTGATCTCTTCTTTCATTTCACTTCCATAGCGGCTCCTGACCCGTAAAAGTTTGATTTCAAGTATCTGTTCATCATTGCAATTACTTAATATAACTAACTTCATATGACTTACCCAAGTTTTCTTCTTGCAGACCGTGTGAAATAGTGGTGAGATGATACAGGAGTAACGGATGCACTTCTCCTTAAAGTAGGAAATTCACCATTATTTTACAGTGTTTATTTAAATGGAAATACACCAAGCAAAGAACATGTATGTTCTTCTTCCAGGCAGAACTAACCTAAGACACTCAAATGTTGGAATTCTTCTTACACAATGGAAATCGACTAACAAGCTTGCTGTAACACTGCCAAGACAGGACTTCCGCTCACCAAGTTTTTATTCAATCCTATTTATAATTCATCTCATTTTCTCTCAAAATATTTCAACACCCACCCTCTTCCCACATTATGACTTCTGGATGTGAAAATTCAAGAAAAATACCCCCTTTATAGCATGAGAAATCCACTACAATAAAAACAAACAAAAATTGAAATGTGACTGGCTAGATTTTTGCAGCATTGAATCTGTCAAAAATACACCAGGCTTTTAATACTAAGTATGAGATTTTGCACAAACATTGCGACAAAGAGCAATCTTACACAAGCAGGTATTTTACTCAAGTCTGATATTGTTGCATCAGGCAAATTACTTTGTCTTATTCTGTTTCCTTATATTGGAATGGTATCCTTTGTCTATGTCTGACTAGATGTAATACAGTTTCATTAAATCCCATCACAAGCAGAGCCATAGTATTACATAGTATTTTGAGCTGTTAGGTACCTTAGCACATGACCACCATCTGTTTGCCTTTCTGACAGCAAGTAACAACTACATGCAGCACAGAAAAGAGTAAGTTATGTCTGAAACTAAGGAACAGGTATACCAGATCCTGACTTTGCCTTATCAGTGAAGGAGGAATCTTACTTCATCACAACACTTAAACTGTTGCTTGTTCCAAGGCTATGTTACTAAACTACATTGGTTCAAGTATTAACTACTTTTATTTCAAGTCTGTGAGATTAATAACGAAGTAGCACACGTATTAATCAGAAGTGAGCTGTGCAGCACAAATACCTGCTTTAATCAAGACTTCAGTAGCCCTAACAGTGCAATTGTCATCACCTGATGCTAGGAAAAGTACCTAACTGCCCTTTAAACTGTTTATGCTTTCAGAGCTTTCTTACATATTTTTCTGTGGCCTGTGCTCTGAATTAACTTCTGTAAACACTTTTTATAAGATATTATTACTAGATATTTATGAAGAGAGCTTACTGTTGTGCATCTGTATTTAACCTGTGCGGCATCTTTCTCTTGACTGAACTCTTTTGGGACAGCAGAGCTTGGTGATGATGTTTTTCACCAGGAGTGTACTGTGACTCCAGAAAAGACTTAGCTTCTTTATTCTGAAGGTTGGTGCCTTTTTCCTTGTGAACAGAGTCTTCTTTGGACACAGCAGAACTTTCAAGGGACTGAGAATTATCCTTCTGCAACAACAGTTAATTGTTTAAGAGTTTCAAAGCACTTAAAGTTTTGCTTCTAACTAAAAAACCCGCAAGTTTCAAAATAACTTTTAAAGGAACATTTTACCCTGCTTTGTGAAAGTCATGTTATATCTAGCAGAAATTATTTTCTAATCATATCAATAAGATAAATTCTGTCTAAAAAGTTGATAGTGAGCATGTTACAGTAGTTGCCTCTTCCACATTCTAATTTACATTAGGTTATCCAGTCAGTCAAACTAGAAACTTCTAGTTACACAGTTCTGAGTCTGAACTGTGGAGGAATGCCATAACACTTTCAGGAAAACACCAGATCATTGCTTTTTAAAAAGTTCTAAATTACTATTTTTGAGAATGTTGCTCTCAAAATAGCAAATAATGTTAATCAAGAAACAATGTAACGAGGTTCTCAAATGAACTCAAATGCAAGATTCTCCACTCGAGTTATGATCATAGTTGCTTAAGTGCTATAGTGTTAATCCCAAACACTGTACCTGAGCAAGTTCCACTCCTAAGGCTTCTTCAGCCACATTGCTACAGCTGATGTATCTTATGGCACTAATTATTCCCTGAACAGCGATGCGCTTGCGCTCTCTGTAATGCAAGTCTTCAATCTCTTTCACTGTTTCACCTATAGCTTTCAAAACAGATTCAACTGGAAAAAAAAAATAAATTTGAACAAATACAGTATCAAAATGTCTGAATGCAAGACTCAAAGGAAATTTTTTTACAATTGTTTAAATTGATTTAAATTGTTTTACAATTGTTTAAATTGATTTAAAAAATTCATGTTTCTTAATAATTTTAAATCTTTAAAGATATTTGAGGGTATGATACCTTTATTGTTTTTACAGTATTTCAAAAAGTTATTTGGAGGTCGTGGAAAAGGATAATAGCCACCAATGACAGCTTTCTCCATTTGATCAACTTCATTTTGTGTTTTAGTCCACTGTATGAAGTTTCTTACTTTGGTATCCTTGGTGTATGGCTGGCCCCTGTGCCACCCTTTTAAAACAAAAATAATTCAGTATCAAAACCAAAGCAGGTTACTGTCATCTGTTCTCATCCTGAAATTATCCTGAACACTATGTAGAAAAAAAACCAAACAGATTAAGAAAATCTGGACTACAGAACGCAAAAGACATCTTTCTACCAATGAACAGTGTCATATTAAATTAATGGTGTCTATGACATTGCCTGTGACATTGACTAGCAGTATCTAGCATACAGTATCACAATACCATAAAGACTACCGTTAACTGCAGGCAGTAGTATTCAAAAGAGACTACCAGACGGAATGCTCCTTCAGTGCCACACAGCACCACATCCTTTTTCACTGGGAAAGATGAAACATAACAGCTCTCCAAATATTTGGTGAAAAAGATGAGCTAAGATAAATTTAGGACAATTATATTCTTTTTTGTTTGTTCGTTTTTCTGATAAGGAAATGTATAAGCCAGAGAAGCTGCAAGTGTTGATGTTTTTAAGGAAGCAGTAATTTGCATTGCTACATTATCAAAGGATTAAAATTGTCTGAAAGAATTAGTAAACATATGACTTAACCCAATAATACTTTGGTACTTTTTGTAAGATATACCCATTAATACCTCACAAGAATGCAATTTTCTTTTTTCTGTTTGCAGTGGTATTTCATCATTTCTGACAAGGAAGCCAATGCTATGCATTGATTATTTTGTTGTAAAATTAAGATATCCTTTTCAAAGAAATAAGACGAGAACTACATCAAACTAAAACTAGTTTAAATTACCTGTAATGAATATTTGACTTTCATTTGAAGTTGTAAGGTAAACTGTGCTGGAAAGATTCTCAGTGAGGTCCCGTACCACTCTCATCTGTGTACACACCAAATATGTCACTGGAACAAAAAAAACCAAGAAAACCAAAAAAGCCTTTCAGGTTTTTTTTCCTGGTATTTCATTGATTTCAGAATGTTAAGACTGATACACACTGGATTAATTTTATTAAGTGCTCTAAACAAGACATTTTACTTTTTGAGCCAATAAATGCTTCAGCACAAATTGAGCTTCTGTTATGAATTACAATATGGAGATGTAATTAAATTGTCAATTTAATAACTGTGTAATTTCAGCATGCATATTAGGACTAAAAAATGAGATACTTCATCAATCAGGTAGGATATCCATGAAAGAAGTAGTCAATATGGATATTAAATGGCTGTTTTTCTTAATAATAAAAAGCATAAAACCATGGAAAGCACAAGAAATCATGACATGCCACTGCAAAACTTCAGCGTAGGGTACAAACTCACTCTTTTGTTAATAACTCACTTTACCACTGGAATGTCATTCTTTGCCATTTCCCCAGAACACTCAAGATTAATAAAGCCCTAATCTTAACAGGGTTGTGCAGCTGGTCCTGCATTATATGACATAAAAATGCACATGACATCAACCAGTGTTAATGGAAGGATGAGCACTTGGAGGAGAAGAGAAAGATGGCAAGAAGAAATATTTAAAGTTCCTTTAAGATACTCAATTAAGGATTCCCCAGTTTGAAATGCATCATTATTAGCTCACATGTAATAACAGCTGGGCAAAGACTGCTTTTTGGCCAAAAAATATTTATTCAAAGAAATTAAGCTTTTCCACTTTCCCCTCTCTCTTCTCTGCCAATCCTCTTAAATTATTCCTGTCTATTAAAAAATTACTTATTTACAGGGCAAAAGGAGCAAAGATTTGACCAGCTGCCTGCTTTGCCTCTGATGCAAGAGATGTTGCCCCAGGTGGTTCACTTAAGTTTCTGTTTGAAATTAATGAGATCGTATGAGCCCCAAGCCCAGCTGGCCATCTATTTGTTTAGAGTAACTGGCAGATTGCAATATGATAAGGGTTTCAGATACTTACTTTATCTTTAAATTTTTATTTCTGATTAGCTATTTTCCCTTTAAGGAGCTAAACCATGGCATTTTTGTATTCAGTGGCAATTATACTCAGAATATGAAATTAGCAACCCAGTAGAAAAACACTATAAATAATTATTAATAAGCATTATAGAGATGAATACTTGGGTGAATATGCTCAAACACTTCTGGTTGAGAAGTTGCAAATAATTCCAGTATGAATGGTTGGTCTGAGGTCCCGTCAATGGCATGTGCCCAACGATAGAGCCAGAAGTCTTCACCATGCTCTATATAAACAAATATTAAGAAAAATGTATAAATATTTATTCACGAAGTTAAATATTGTTTGATAAATTCCAAAAGTTATATTCATAGAAAAACCTTTCTTTCTTGTTCGTTCAGCCCTTCCTACGAATGTCACAAGACCAATAACATCACAGGAATGGTTGTGTGGTAAGCCATCCAGTTCTGACCTAAAACCAAAAAAGAACAAAACCATGAGTACTTGGTTAACAACAAAACATAAAGCTTTCTCAAGCACTTATCAAAAAACATTTCCAACTAACATTCAGTGTAACGCAGTAAAACTAAAGTTCCAGCTTGACAGACAACAAAACTTTATTTTACCTTGTGATAAATCGATATTTAACTTCAGGTAATCCCCACTCTGGCTTAACCATTTCTTCTGGAATAATAGTTATTTTAGTAGGAGGATCGCGAACATTAAGGCTGATTTCTGAGAATTGAAAAAAAAAAAAAAGTCAGTAACATTCAAGGCATGAATGCAAATTAAAACAAACAAACAAAACCTGCAAAAAAACAGGGTTCAAGTTTCTTAAATGAAGTATTCCAACTGTGTCTCACCGTTTGTGAAATTACAAATCAATTCCTCTAATTTTATGTTTTCATCAAAATAAAGCAAGGCATTCAGGTACAGCATCCAACAGTGCAATTTTATAATCTAAGCAATGTTAAACTTTCCAATTCCCTACATGAGCCCATGAGTCTGATCCAGCCAGATATTTAAAAGACCACAAGAGAAACTAATACTACAATACTTATTAGATATGAAGTATTTTTTACGCAAGCTTCATTCTCAAACATCACCAAGATTTAAAACTGACTTGGAGACAATGAAGTAAAACAGGAGATAGAACTAGCAGATTCGAACTTCCACATCTGATACTAGTTCAGGTAGCTAATAATATGATTGAAATATACCATGACCATAGAGGAGAACAAAAAAGTCTTTCAAGGTCTGTCTCTCTATAGCACTTGAAGATTTTGATTTATTAAGCAGACTGTTTAGGCATTTAACAACAAAATGGTGGAGCACTGGGTGAAGCAAAGGTTCTGCAACCAGACAAAAAAGTACAGGAAGAATCGCTTCAGCATCTAGAATACACAAGGTGGTTCTCTACTGTCTCTCTCGTAACAAGAGTAATATTGCTGGTACGAAAAATACAGATTCTGATGAAGCTTCTACAAGATGATTTTGTTTGGGTAAAGGGTTATGCAAATAATGTACCTGGAAAAGTAATAAAATAGGTATAAAATATGTATAAAATATATAATTATATCCATGTTTCATACTAGCAATGCAATATTAGGAAGGTGTTAGACTTGAAGTCAGACCCTCTGCTTAAGAATTTTCTTTTGGCTATTGCTTTCTAACAATGTATTTGGAGAACAATCGTGGTTTTGCATATGGTGCTTTAAGACAGTATCTTAGAGATACTTTCCAAAAACAAAACTTCCCCATGCATCAAAACTATTTACCAATTGTTTTGTCATTTTGAGATTAGACAAAAGACATATACTCAAGACTATTCCCTGGGATGATTCAGAAGCTAAGGTCTGCCCAGGCTATTCAAAACAGTAGTTTTCACCAGTACCACACAAATTCGGTGATTTGTGGAATGCACACACTGCCTAGCAGTGAAATTCATGGTGTTGGGACTACCTATTTAAGCTCCAAACATTTTAGGTCCTGAAACAGCACTTTTCAGCGTGTCATATAATGCTGCAGCTGCAAACAGAAGCAAGCAATGCAGAACTTGATTCACAGAAATCTTGCAAGAGCTCTTTATTTGGAAAGTCCTTTCCGTTGTGGCCTTGTCAACCCTCCGGATATATTTTACAACATTTACAGGTGAATACTGGAATCTGGTGGAATCACAAATTGGAAGCAGATGATGAAAAATGTACTTGTTACCTAAATAACTGACTGCCTTAAGTAGCTAGCTGAAGAACTTCTGAAGCACTCGTGTATGCTTAAAAAAACCTGAAACATTGCCCCATATTGGGCATATACAGAGATCTCTCTATTAACAGAGTAATTAGTGAGGCATTAAATTGCACTTCATCTGAACAAAAAAAACCCCAAACCCACGCACCAGGAGTTACCTAAAATCAATTTTAGAACTTCTCTAGAAGTTTTTTATGGATATTCTGTTCCCTTTAGATTCTCCTCTTACAGGATAAAGGCATAAGATCCATCAACGCATGATGTTATATGCTTTTCTAAGTTTACAGTAAGACAAACTTCTGAGCTTTGTGCTGAGAAAAGGAATAAGATACTGTACATACACTGATATGAACCAAGGATTAGTGATTTTACAGTTTATTCATGGTCTTAAAATACACCATGGCACTTTACTATAGACTGTCTTCCAGTTCTTCCATTACATATCTATCACCATTTACAGCCCACTGGCCTACTTTTCCATTGTGATCTCTTGTTAGCATTTCTACCCCAGTAATGCTTGCAGATATCCCAACCATTAAAATGAAGTGACATTTGCTCATACAGAAAGTCACCTCATGATATTTTATTCTGTCCTTTCTCCATAGAAAGGTTTTCTGTCAATTATAATTCTTTTTAGGGGTGGTTTATAATCATCAACAGTTTCCCTCACGAGCTTCCATTCCTGGCTAAACATTTTTCTTCTGCCAACTCATCACAAACACTTCAGACATTAAGATATGGTTTTAAGACAAAGTCACATTAGATAGAGTATACAGAGCCTCTAACAGAGAAAATAGTTTGGTTTTGTGCACTGTAGCAACTGCATTAGGAAACTGTCATTATTCGTAAGTTATATATACATATATATCCTTCACTAATTTGCATATATGCTTATTTAAAAGAAGTTGTTTGAATTTTCTGAATGTTGCCTGTCATTTTTTCCAATATGAAAGCAAAAAAGGGAAAAGAACTCATGTTCACTGAAAGAAAAAAACAAAAAGTTGACCAAATCCCATTTGAAAAGGCTATCATTGTGTCCAGGGTTCAGCAGTAGGAGTCATTTTTCTCCTTCTTAGTAGCTGGTGTAGTGCTGTGGTTTTGACTTTCAGCCTGGGAACAGCGCTGATAACACCGATGTTTTTAGTTACTGCTCAGTAATGTTTACCCTGACCAAGGACTTTCTGAGTCTCATGCTCTGCCAGGGAGGAGGCGAAGCTGGAAGGAAGCAGAGACAGGATACCTGACCTAAACTAACCAAAGAGGTATTCCATACCACAGCACATTAGGCCCAGTATATAAACTGGGGGCAGCTACCCGGTAGGGCTAGATCGCTGCTCAGTCCGGCTGGATATCGGTCAGCGGGTGGTGAGCAGATGTATTCTCTTCCCTTGTTATTTCCTTTATCATTATTATTATTGGTGGCAGCAGTAGTGTTTTGTGTTACACCTTAGTTACTGGACTGTTCTTAGCCCATGGGAGTTACATTCTTTCGATTTTCCTCCCCATCCCTCCAGGAGCTGGGGGAGGAAGTGGGGGGGAGTGGGTTTCTGGGTTGCTGGATGGGCTTAAACCATGACATACTGTTATACTGCAGCACTTCTATTTCTGTAGCATAGCTCCTTTGATATCTGTCCCATTAAACAACTGCAAGCAAGAAAATACCTTCTCGTAGCTGAGGAATATTTTTCATAATTGCACTGCCATGGCGCTGCTGTTTCAGCACAGACATCAGTCATCAATGCAACTTTTTATCTAGTGGGGCTTAGCAGACACTCTGGGGCTTGACCATATACACTAAAATCTAAAGACAGATCAGTGACGTGGAAGAATGTGTGAGACGTGCACAAATATCTGTATTATTAAAAGGAAGTAGAATCACATTAAAATTCAGTGTCAGAGGCCTGTCTTTATGATGCCAATACCTGACATCAGGGATTAGTTTTTTATTTATTTTTAAATAGAAGTTTTAACTAACTGTGGCAATAAACTTTGTATACATGATCCAAATATGAATCAAGGAACAATAAGAGCTTGGATACTAAGACACCCTTCAGAGCTAATATTTAAGGATATATACCTTATCAATTAGTTTCAGCAATGGATTACTTTATTTCTGTGCAGAGCTACCTTTGGATCAGTTTATTTCTGTGCAGAAAATTTACTGCTGTATTTAACTGAATCAAAACAGGTTTCTCTGATACTTAACCAATTGTAGCAAATCTCTTCATCTGTGAATCCCCTGGGGTTGGTTTTGTTTTAAATGGGTAACTGGTTTTGACAGCGTACTGCTCAAGAAGTAATACTGTGCCAACCTTCATACTGTTATACCATTCAGGACACAATGAGTTCCACAAAACCATTGACATCATGCCTGAACCATCAGCAACTTCAAAGTAAGCCTAAAGAAAAGAGAGACAAATAAATTCATATCTTATATATCATTCTGATACGTATTTATTCTATATAATGCATCAGCTACTTGACTTATGAACAACTTCTCTGATGATTACAGATGGATAGAGTATGTTCCAAAACTTGTATTGAATACTAGAGTTGAAGAAATCCCTAATTTCCACAAAAGAATTCTTCCACAACTATTCCAGCCCAAAATCTTCTCTTTCCAGTGCTCAGTAATGGTAGGAGACACCAGTTTCACTCTGTAGTTTTCTGGAGAAGGTTGTGGCAATAGCACATACAAGAAACAATACTGAGAAGATTCTTCTTTGTCAAAGAGAATGCTGTATTTGGAGTAATATTTCAAAATATTCATGAAGGAATTTGAGATGTTGCGGGATTATTTGCTAAACATTCTTGATCAAAACACTATACAAGTCTGACTTTGAAGAAAAACCCCAAAACCTACCAAAACACAAACTCCTAAAATAACCTGCATCGCAAACCACTACATTTTCATTGAAGTGTTTCTCATGACAAAGATTTATACCAGTTGTTGGGTTTTTTTTTTTTTTAAACCAGGTGAACTTTGAATCCATAACTGAGCAGATCACTAAACAGTGAAAAAGATTTTTAAACGCTTTTATAATGGTCTTAAAAGATAGCAATCCACTGAAAAAAGATCTCAGCCTTATCAAAATATTTTATCCATTCATCAGCCTCAATCATCTGCTTTTGTTCATTCTACTATCTTTAATAAATCACCATCCTTGAACATATCTATCACCTTATGTCTTTTCCCCTTGATGCTTCTAAAGCCCTCTTTTCCTTATTCCAAGTTCAATACAGAGACTATACAAATCAACACTTGTTAGTTCATTCTAATATTCCTGATTAGTCACGAACCATTCATCCTTGAAAGTAAACCATTATAACATTGAATCTTTTGTTACCTATCGTTTTTTATCTAACAATGATAATTCAGCACACAACACTATTTAAAGAAGGAATGCATAAAGCAAAGAGCATGTGAATCTGTCTCCTAACTTCTTGAGCTAACCCAGCTCTGGGTGTTGAGTCTACACCTAACGCCAGGAAATATGACTGATGAACTGCCAAGGAAGTTTGAGTATCATCTAGACTCTCCTGAAAAGTACATCCAATAAAAGATTCAGATTTACCTTCAAGTGCACAGGGAATGGAAAACTGGAATAAGAGAACACCACAGCCCTTCATTAAGATGCTTCATACCTCTCTCCACCCATGGAAGAATCATATGAGTTATTGGAGCTCTTTGTCAAGTGCTGCCCTCCTGTACAGGGACTGGCTGGGATGGAGCTGATTTTCTTTGCATCAGTCTGCATGGTGCCATGTTTTAGATCCACGACTATAACAGTGTTAATACACCAATGTTATACCTGTTGCTGAACAGTGCTTGTAGAGTGTCAAAGTCTTTGTTTCTCACTCTGCCACCCCAGCAAGTAAGCTATAGATGGGCAAGAGGCTGGGAGGTGACACAGCCGAGATAGGTGACCTGAACTGACCTAGGGGATACTCCATGCCACATAACATTATGCTCAGATATAAAACAGGTTGCTATTCTCCCCAGAGTACCCATTGTTCAGAGACCGGCTGCGCATTGGTCTACTTGAAAAGGCTCAGCATTTTAGTGAAGGTAGCAAGTTTAATATAAAGTAGCTACAATATGTTTCTTAACTTTATGTACTTGCTACATGGGAATAATGATTTCCACATACCCTACAGCTATTTGTTCAAATGTTAACCAATGCATTTATCTCTCTTTACCTGATAAGGCATATCCATTTTTTTCTCTGGTTTCCCGTAGTACCTTAGTCTAGATTTGTGCAGGACTCTCACAAGAAGTGGATGGTAGTGAACTCTGCTTCTCCATGTCATTTCCAGCTGACCAAGAGAAATCACCTTGGAGACTAAGGTTAATGGGAGGAAAGAAAGAAAAAGACCAAAGTAGTATTTATGATTGAACATTTAAGTTTTCAGGAGTAAAGTGCACAGATGAGGACGTCACATGTATTGTCTTAATGTCTGTAACATCTAAAAAGGGTTATTTTTTGATACTGCTCACCATGAGATCCTGTTCTGAGCTATCTGCAAACAGCATTATTTTGATTTGTTTTGGGTTTTTTTCCGGTTTTGTTTTTAACTGAAAGAGAGCACTGTGACACACTTCAAATGACAAGGAAGCATCATGAGATGAGCAGGAGAGCTAATGCAAAAGATACAGGCGTTAGCCTACAAGAGCATAATACTCATGCAAAAGTCTCACTTATAACTCCCCCCTCACTTCACTTCATGGACTGGTCTCAGTCCCTCAACACCGATCACGTTTTGGGTGGCAGCTTCCAGGCGCGAGCACCAGTCCCACGGAGTAGCCAAGAGATTACTACGGGAAGAGATGTTTTTGACACCTCGGGAGCCTGGTGCAAGCACCGTATTTTCAGTCAGTGTTTTGGAAAGTTTTAAAAACCCTCTCCAAATAACATGAACACGCAACCTGTGACACATATACCACATTCATACGGGTGCCTGTCGCAACCGGAGGGTCACTTCTCATCAGGGAGCTCAGCCCGGCCAACAAGCAAGGCAACAACCTCACTTCTTCACCAGTGCGCTGCCTCACGTTCCCACCTACACCCCCTTCCCCTGAAGCCGCCTCCTCGCCGCTTACCGTCGACGTTCACCTTCGCCTGGGGCTTGTCTGCCACCCACACGTCCCCGTAAGGATCCTCGTTGTTCCACAGCGGCAGGTAGTGCTTCTTGTCGCCGCGAAGGGGCGGCAGGCGGCCGCGGGGCAGGGCGGCGGGGGTGGGCTCGGCGCCGCAGGCCAGCTCCAGCTCCTCCAGGCACGGGAACCCGTAGTTGAGGCGCTTCTCCTCGTAGCGGTAGGAGCAGCGCGTGAGGCGCAGGCGCACACCGGCGTGCAGGTGCGCGCGCTGCACCAGGCCATTGAGGCGCGGCGCCAGGTAGCAGCGCTGCTGGTACGCGCCGCTCGCCAGCGTCACGTCGTACCAGTACTGCGCGGCGCCGGCGGGCTGCGCCCCGGCCAGGTACCGCTCCACCGCCACTACCGTCACGGGCGGCGGCTCCGCCGGGGCCACGCTCAGCTGCGAATCGCCTCGCGCTTCCTCAAAGACCCTCTGAAGCCAGGAGGCACTGCCGCTCGCCGGCACCGCCACCGCCTCCTCCCGCCTCTCCTCGTCAGGGCGGGCGCTCCCGCCGCTCTCTGGGGTAGGGTCCTGCATAACAGCTTCGCGCAGTCCCTCCCCCGCGCCGCGCCGCGCTGCCGACAGCCGGGGCCGGGGCCGGGGCCCGGGCCCGCTTCTGGGGAGGGCGGCGGCGTCAGCCTGAGCCTCCCGCAGTCACGGGCCCAGCCGGAGCGCCGCCATCCTTCGCGCGGGGTGGAGCTGGTGCGCGCGCGCGCCGAGAGCCATTCAAACCTCCCAACGGTCGTGGAGGGGGAAGGGAGGAGCCAGCGGATCCGGGCCGGGCGGGGGTGTAAGGGGGGAAGCGGGGACCCGGCGGGACGCAGGGAGAAGCAGCCGGCGGTGAACGGCCGGGTGCCGGCAGCGAGAAGGGGGGTTCTGAGGCGGGGAGCGGCGGCACCCGCTCCTTCCCGTGGGCTGGCGCCCATCGGCCGTTAGGAATGGAGCCGGGGCTACAGCACGGGAGGGCTGCTCGTAACTCGCGCTGCGGTGCCCGACCTCGCCTTCTTCGGTGGGCCGGCGGCGTGCTCTGTAGGTAGCCCCAGACCCACGGTAACAAATGGGCCTGTGCTGGGCTTTGTGCTGCACCTGTGCCCGGTGCCGCTTTAAGTGGATACATAACACTCATTATTGATCAGTATTGCTTTGATCTCATGTTCCTGATTGCACTAAAAGTGTCTCATGCTAGCTCCTAAAATTGTATTTACCCCTTTTATGCTTGCAGGGTGTTGTTAATCATCCTGCCAGTGAAAACATCTGGGTCTTTCTCTGTTGTTTCCAACAGCACTGACTGTGTTTCCGTCTGTTAGAAATCATTACAAGTGGTCCCTAAGTGTGTGACCTGACTTTTAAATTTTATTATTGATTCTCATCCCACTGCTACCATCAAGCTCATCTAATTATTCTTTATGATACGATGATCACTTACTATATTAGTGAAATTTCAGGGGATTAAGAACTTTGTAGTTGATACTTTATTAGCGTTTCCTAAATGTGTGATCAAAGGGCTGGGGAGCCTGCTGTTAGAAGAAAGGCTGAGGGAGCTGGGCTTGTTCAGCCTAGAGAGAAAACAAAGGCTCAGGGGAGACCTTATTGCTATCTTTCCAGTATTTAAAGGGTGGCTATAAAGAAGATGAAGACTTCCTTTTTACAAGGAGTCACAAGGAAAAGACAAGGGGTAAAGGGCATAAGTTACTCCTGGGGAGATTCTGACTGGACACAAGAGAAAGACTTTTCACAATGAGAGCAATCAGTCGTTGTAATAGTCTTCCCAGGGAAGTGGTGGGTTCCCCAACAGTGGGCACTTTTAAGATTCGTCTGGACAGGCTGCTGGGACACCTAATCTAGGTCATGCTTTCCCAAGAAAGGTTGCAGCAGATGATCCTTGAGGTCCTTTCCAACCTGTTATTCTATGTATTTTTGTCTACTGGAGGAAATGTTAGGCTATAAATTAGCAGGACAGAGTGAGGAGAGAGATCTGAAGAGGCAGGAAGAGGAAGAAGAGAAGTAGTTTCCAGTATTTATAGTGTCACTGGGTACAGAGAGCCTTTGGAAAGCCAGAAGACCAAAGCATAGGCAGAGCTGCTTCACACACTGGGCCAGCAGAAAGCAGCTCTCCAAGCTCACAGCTTGAGAATGATTCTGTTCTTAGTCTACTGCCTTTGCCACTATGAAGTGTTTATCTTGGGGAACCTGAAAAACCTGTTGCTTGAACCAATTAAATCAGACTGAAAAGCTGGACAAGGGGTTATAAAACCTAAGCCTTTTCTGGCCTTTAGATTACCCTAGGAATGGTGAGTATAACAATGCATTCCTTGGTGAGGAAATTTAAAACACATCAGTCATTCTTGATGTTTATGTTGAAGCCAAGATATTGAATAAAATTTCAGTGTGGAGTCTTTTCTTCCCTGTAAACACATGGTCTGTTGTGTGTCCTCATAAAATGGCATTTACGATTTAAAAACCCGAACATGACCCAAACACCTTTTTATTGAGGTTGCACAGGATGTGATTTCACATCACATACCAGCCTTATGTGCAGATGTGGTGTAGACTTTTTTCCAGCTGTTAAATGAATCCGTAGGTGTAGGGAGGAAACCTGTGGAATATTGTCAGCTTCTCTCCACTTTTGTGCTTGTGACAGGACTTGCAGAAGAAAGGTATTTTATTTATAGCAGAGGTAATTGTTACATGTATATCTGTTGTCAAGAGCTTTTCATTGTAAGTCACTGTGGTTTCAGTCATGAAAACCATGGAGCTGTAGCTTTTGTGGTGTGATAATGGACTGATAGAATTAATTAATACTTTGTAATTTTGCTTAAATGTGTATGAGTTGCAGTTTCACATATGGGGTAGTTCCCTCTCTTAGGAACTTGATTCTGTTCCCTTCTTTCTCACCAGCAGAGGTCTAGCTAGCACACCCATTTCAAAACTGGAATGGCATGAAAGTTTTGCTGATGCAAGACAAGACATGTTTTACTGACTGGTGATGTCTGTAAGTTTCTCTGGGTGTGGTTTCCCTGTCATACCTGACCAGGGGGACAGATGTGCTTGTATTAGAAACTGCAAATTCAGAAACACTTGGAGAATCAGTAATGTGTGGTGAGGAGCCATCAGCAGATGGCTGTATTAGAATCACAAAACCTGAGGGCTCAGTGTGTTGTGTTGAGCCTGTTCCATCAGGGGTGTAAGAAACTCATTGAAGACAACATGATTTTTTGTATACCTACAACTAAACATGCTGAACTGTACCAGTATTGATCTTGGGTGAATCAATACAATCTCAAAGTCTCAGACATAATTAGCAGCCAAGTATCTCAGGTTTTATGTACAACACCTTAAGAAAAATAGCAGTTAGCCTCTCTAGCAATGTCAGCGAGGAATGGGCTATGCTGAACAGGGGAATGTTACTACATTCTGTTAAACTTTACATTGAAGGTATCTTGGGGAAATGAAAGGCACAAGAGAATAAAGGGTGATGCTATAGATTTAAGAATTAACTATTGTGCAGGATTATAAAGCTTACTGTAAACCACAGTTCACTTTTACGTAGGTCTTTGGAGAAGCAATTTCATTCTAGAGCAGTTTTGTACCATGAAACAAACTACTTTCAGACATAAAGCTAAAATTAAAATGCCATTTTGTTTGAGCTGCAATAGCAATAGATAATCAAAGCTATTTACAGTTTGATTATACTTGAATTGTGTATGTGTATCTTACTGCCTGGCTCTACTGATTGGCAAATAGTTGTAATCAGATAGCTTTTCCTATTATGAGATAAAACTCCAAATACTTTCACTTTGAACTGGCATTGTTTTATATGCAAAAGTGTGTTTTGAGATGGTGAGATAAACCATTTGTCATGGTTTAAGCCCAGCTGGTAACTCAGAACCACGCAGCCACTCACTGAACCCAGGACACTATTTTATCTTTTGGTGCAACATGGATAATACAACTTCATCAGAGCAATTCTACTGTCAAGTCAGAGTAGCTTTGAAGGGTTCTTTAGGTGGGGCAGTTTCTGCCAGGGAGAAGGGAATTCAGATGTTCCTTATTAGTCCCTGCTAATTCATGCCTTCTCTTCCTGGCTTTGTTTGGCCTCCTTACAGATTCTGAAGAGAAGATTGCTTTCTGATGTTGAGTAAAATTCAGTGCCCATTTCACTGTTGCCTTTTGGCACTAATAGGCTGATTTTACACCTTAGAGAATGTAAAAGGAAGAAGTAAACTTAGAAGTATATAGGGCTGGAATGAAGAATGTGTGTGGTGGAGGAGGGGACTGAGTAAAGGATGTATTATATTAGCGTGATCCTGGCTGCTACCTTAAGAAAGGCTAAATTGAGGCTTTGTCTTACCTGCTGATGTCAAAGTTGTCCTGGAGTCTGGTATGCACCTTCTCCATTATTTGCTTGTATGCTAGAAGCTGTACCAGCTGAATCAGTATATGGATGCATTCTCATGTGTCTCCATGTAGGTTCAGTTTTAGCAAATTGCAACCTTCTGTTTTAATACTATTTTAACTGAACAACTTGGGATGGGGAGCAGGAGAGGATCATGAGCAAGGATGATCAGAGAAAGACTTAACTTTATTTTGTTGCAAGTTAAATTTTACTTAGTAGTTACACAAATAAGTGCTGTAGTTGGGCCCAGCTTGCCTTTTGTCTAGTCAGTATTTGCCACAGAATATTCCTGTATCTAAGGGCAGGATGAGATGACTATTATTGATTGCTGGCACACCACTGATGAAACAGGTGTGCTGCTTACCTGCATATCAGTCAGTGCCAGTAAGTAAGAAGGTTGTTGTTACTAGCCAATGCAATGCTAAAAATGAATGACTGACATTCCTTTCATAAGGGGTTATATTGGGCCTATGTGAACAGTTATGTTCAGGTTCCTGAAACTTGTTTGTTTTAGGAGGGTTTTGTTTGCTTTGTTTGGGTTTTATTTGTTTGTTTTTGGAATGGGAGAAGTTTGTTCCTGACTTTTTGCAAACATGGACAGGTACTGTCCCCAGCATTTTTCCTGGGAAATACAGAGCCATCTTGGCCAAAGTTAAGGGAGGGGAAAAAATGAACTGGTGTTAGTTGATACAGAAGATGGAGACTACAGCCCACTCTGAAAAATCTGACAATATTGTAAGTCAGAGGAAAACAGATTCTTAAGAAGATCAGCGCTTCTCACTGTTTATGTGTCCTGGTTAAACCACAACACCACGATAGGAACTTTTGGCAAGGTAGCACGCATCTATAGTCAGAAAACGATGAAGGATCACCTCAAAAGAGTAAATCTCACCTGCAGTTCTTTTCACATATAGGGGGATGGGTACAAGATTTAGCATGCTGGTTCTAGAAAGCAATACTTTTTCTGTAAGTTTTTTTCACAACATTAATGACATCTCTCAATCCACTCATGTTGCATATGCAAATCACTGTATTTTTATTTTTTTTATTTTTATAGCGGAGTCATCTGTGCAGAACTGAACCACAGCTGAAGCAGGAACCAGAATTCTTGCTCTTCTCTACTTCTATTCCTGATATTAGAGGAGGTAAGCAAATGAAAAGGAGAGAAAATCTCCTGTCCAACAGGAGGATTGTACTGGAACTCAAGCCCTACATATTTCCTCTTGTGCTTGGGAGTGAAACTTGCTGGTGTGGGAGAATAATCCAGGTATACTGTTATTACTGTAGCTCAAAAAAAAACTTTTGGTGGCAAGAACAATAGTGAGTGGCAAAACTAAGCTATCTGTCTGCCCAGTCAAGCAACCATGACGTCTTTAAACTTATAATACAGATCCCATTCTGTACATCAAATGCGGGAAAAAGCACGCTCTGCTAGCTTGAGAGAAATATAACATTGATGAAAGATTCTCTTTATTTAAAAACAATAAAAGAAATTTTGCCTCATGCCCTAACTTGTTCTAACTCCCAACACTGACATAACTGCCAAATTTCCTAATCCTCACTCTTAAGTGTAATTTCTAACAGCTATAATGTGCTATTACACCTCACATTATGTGTAGCAGGAAGTTTTAAATGCAGTGGCAAAGACTGCATGAGCATACCTGAGAAAAAGTGAACTGGGATAACCTGGCATTCAGGCTGATATACATGCACAAAAGCCAGTTCTCATAGTGTCAGTGATTGCAAGCTGTCATTTCCCACTCCCACTGCCCACATCCCACTAGGCATTTGTGTAAAGAGAAGGGTGGAGACACAGAAATGCACTTGTGAAGCTCAGTAGCAGCACGCACAGCAGCACACTGCAGCTGTTGGCCTTACCAGCACTCAGCCTAGTGCTAGTACTCTGCTGAACTCTCACAATGGCACCTCAACACCTTTATCCACTGCAAGGAAATACTTCATTTTGTCTTTACAGGCAGATGCAGATGTTTCCGTAGGGATACTGACTGGATTTGGAAAACAGTAACTTTCTATGATTGCTAGAATAGCTTACGCAAATATAACAGAAGTCTACAAGCACAACAGTAGTTTTAATTTTCAGTATTTTTTAATTATTGTTTCAGTTGTACAATTTCAACATTAGGGAACAATACATAATGTGCAGTACATGGCTTACATTGTTCCCAGTTTTTAAAGCCATGTGTCAGGCTGCAGAATAGAGTTCACCATTCCTAAAATAAAAGCAGGTGCATCCAATATTATCTTGCTGCAGTATTACCACAGTCTCGGTTAGCAAATACAACATTAGGAGCACCACCTGAGATTAGGATACTGCATGTACCAAAGGATTACTGACATGGATCCCTGCCCTTCTGCCCCTGTGGCAATTGTTCACATCAAAATAACATCACTACAAAAATATTGCTGAGCAGTTCACTCCTTGGTTTTAAAAGTTAGTGAAAGGGTACAGCTAGAGAAACCTCACAAAATGAAACTACAAATCTGATACATTTTGCATAGTTAAATTTATGTCAGGAAAAACTTGGTTCACTGGGTTGTTTTTTTTTTATTTTTTTTTTTTTGACTTACATCTTTGAACTTTTGCTTTGAGCTGAACAGTTATTCAGAGCACTCTCTCATTCAGTGTTCAGACCACTTGGTCACTTTAGACATCTTTCCATTTCTTTGGTAACTTTCTTCTTCTTAACATCTCTTAACATTTTTTATTCCTCCTACAGCAATACAGTGTCCCCAACATCCACTCTCTCTGCTTTGGCCACTCCTATTTATTTTCTTCAGCTTTTCCCTCCTCTCTAATCACTTACAGTCTCTTCTGTTACTTTTTTTCGACATGTCTGGGCTTATCTTCAACCATTCCAATTTTCTCTTGATAAAGAAAAAAATGCCACAGTTGTTTTGTTGCATCCAGTTGCTATTGCTATTTGCAATACCACTTCATCCTCTAAAAGCATTCACCTCTAAAGGCCTCATTCTTTCCATATTTATACATGGATGTAACCCCAATAATTCCAACAGTTTTACATACAAAGTGACAGATGAAAATCCAACCCACTGCCTTGAATCATAGCTGGAAAGCAAAGAGAGCCAATAGGAGGAAACAGAATGAAATATTAAAATCTCAATGTAATAGTGAACATTCCTTCTCTTGAACTTGCTTTTTCTTTCCCTTCTGGCACGGACCTGAACATCATCTCAGTGTGTCAACTCTCTGTCACAGTAACATTAAACAAGTTTGATCACATTTGCTGCTTTAATCTGTTGACATGGGTTGTTCTAAATTCCCATTATTATCTTCTGAAGTCTTTTTTAACTAGTGCCTCTCACACTTTAAAAGAAATGTTATAGGGCAGCCTAGATCACCGAGCATGAGCAGTTTTGCACACCTCCAGGGTACAAAATGAAAGCTGTTCTTTCTTCAGAGTCTCTTAGACATTTTATTTCAAGTCAAAAGCAAGTAAGTTGTATTTCTAATTGTCTGCAAATTATTTTTTGCTTGTAAATTGTAACTTTCATCTCTGTTTCTGTTACAGGTTTGGGTTTTTTTAGTTTTGTGTTTTTGTTTTGTTTTTTTTTTTTTTGTGAAAGTTGAACAATACAAATCCAACACTCAATAGTACAGGGAGCCAAGCCATGTTTTGCTCATTTGCCCCAGTCCTAGCACTGACAATGGGTAGGAACATTACTACAAATAGACAGAGAACTCCTGTTTTCATACAGCTCTGCCCGAGCACAGCATACCATTCAGATTTTAAGTTTGCACACAAGCTGATTACTTGCATACATTAAGAGCCACTTTAACTACTGCACATATTTTTTAGTATGGCCTTAGGATTATTTTTCTGTAAGTGAAAATATTTAAAAGGAAAATACTTCATAAAAACCACTATACATTTTGAAATAAGCTATTGCTTGTGAAAAGTGCTAGGTTAATAACTTTGGAAAGTGCAGTCCTCCACATAGCCAAAGAACACAGACAGCAACAGCATTGGAATCTCTGATGTGCCTGCAGCAGTTGAGGTGCCAGCATAGGGAAGGGTTGGAAGGGTGATTAGGACCTAGTTTGATTCTCCACTGACATATACAAGGATGCCAGTTTTGGAGCTGATGGTTGCAATGTGAGCACCTGTCAGTCACAGCATGACTGCTAACACTAACTAAACCTGACATACTATACAGAACAGCTACCAGTTTTAACAACTTTATTTCTCCCCTTCTTAGTCAATTTTGAATCATCCTCCTTGGGGTAGAGAACCAGATATTCCAACAGACTTTCCCTACACCTTTCAGTATCACATATTTCAAGTAAAAAATATTTATTTTCAAACACTGCAGCTAGTGATTTCACTTTTGCCTACAGCGTCATCCATACTGTATCAAGTCTGGAATGAGCTCTTTTGTATTACATTAATGTTTTACATTTTCAAAGCACATCCAAAAATCAGCTAAATAAGGATTGCATTAAACCCTACAATTTAATCATAGTATATATGATTACATATAATATATATATTATATCTGTATAGTTTTATGGCCAACTTACAAGCCCCTGAGAACAGAGTTTATGCAGAATCACTGGCACCAATAACACTATGGATGCAGCTTTATTTAGATGTAATTAGCAAAAAAAGCACCTGAAATTATTTATATTTTCTATTTATAATAGATTAACTCTTTGGATATTTTCTTAACTATATTAAGAATACATTTGTTAACCTTAACATCCATAGGAAAGATTATATTTACAGACAAAAATATGAAGACTTGATGCTGAAAGAGCAAGAAAAGAAGGTGCCTGATCCTGTGCCCTTATATACATGGGTAGTGCCTTTAAATCAATTCACACGAGTATGGGTCCCGTGTCTGAATAAAAGTTACAGGTTCAGGTTGGTAATACTTTATGCATACCTGATTTTGACAAACTACTATTTAAACTATTTTTACAAATACATTCTACAGTAACTGTGTCTACGGGCTCAGGTATCCAGTCCTGAGAGAAACACGAAGTCTGTCCCCTGCATTTGTAAAATCTACTAGATGGGGGCACATGTCTAGAAGTATCTACTTTGGCAACTCTACAGTGCATTAGACAACTAGCACAGGATACGATCCCCTCAAGTGTCCCAGTCTGCATTAGGCCTTATCAGGACCAGAAGCTCTTTCGCTGATTGTAAGACCCAGACAAGGGAGTTTTAGTGAAAGAGTAAGACCTCACTTAAAATGTGAAACAAGGCAAAACCCAATTCAGTATAGATTCCAATCTGCCACCCAAATCGTGTTTTTATATTGACTATAGATGTTGCTGTCCAAAAAAGAAAAAGACTTCTGTTCAAGCTAACTTCGTTACATCACCTGTGAAAATGAAACCATGTACTTTTCAGAGTACTTATATTGACTACATTCTTCATTAAAGATTTCTCCTAACACTGCAAATACAGTCTTGGTTGGCAACATATTTTAGAAGACAGACTAAACGTGTTTGCAGTACTTTGACGTGAAAATGGAATTCTTTCCAAATAGAAAGAATATATATTTTGATAAGTTAATAATGACAAAATTTCTGTAGGTAAAAAGTGCAAATTAATGTATGTTACCTCCAAGCATTTTACACTGCTACCTACAAGAAGTTTCAAAGCATCCTTCATTTTGATGTGATTCACCAGTTGAATAGCACATTTTGACCAAGAGTCATAAAATATATTTGACTGCTGCCTCCTGACTGCACAGATGCAAAGAACACCTTGAGGGAGGAAAAAAATAAAAGGAGATACGTTACTGCCAGCTTACATTTATGGGTACAAATATTCTCATACAGGAAATGCGAGAGAATGCCACAGCCCCAAATTAAAGGATATACATATATATCACAGTTCAATTTTAATCCCATGAGAAACTTTTTAAACTGAAACTGTGCTTCTGGTACAATTGGGATATATATTTTGGTATATTTCTTTTTCCTATTTGGAAAGACACATGAGAACATTAACAAATAATTAAACAGTTTGGGGGCTCCAGTTTTCTAAATTCATCAGTGGGATCAAGCAGGTTTCACAGAACATATACCAAGAACTGCTATATACAAGAAATCCTCCTTGATAATTCATACTCCAGTGCCTGCAGTGTCTCAAATATTAGAGCACTGGGGCTTTTTTAACATGATGGCTGCTCTGTATTACCTGTAATTTCAGTTGCCCAGGAGAGGCAGTCCTGTAGTTGGGCATTATCAGGGCTGGCTCAGGGCCTTCCCCACTGCCCCTGATGTGCTGGAGTCTGGCCAGTTGGTCATGTCTGTAGCTGTTACCACCTCTGATACCAGTTAAGGCTGGGTGGAACAGGAGTTATAACAGAGCTAGATGGTGTGAAAATGTAGAATTATCCATAGATTTCTTTTTGTTGGGGGGGATTTGGGGGTGGGGGGTGTCAGTGATTACATTTGCTTTGAATGGAGAAGTTGCACCAAGGTAGGAAATAACCAATGTAATGGGAAAGTAAAAAAAATTAAATGGCCTTAGTGTCATAGTTGACTATTACTCCTTTTTTGCTAAAGCACCACACTGTAGTTATCTCTGTACCTTGTCATTTCTTTCACATAAAAACTTCAGCTTCTGTGCTTTCTTGTGCATAAATACTCCTTCCAGATTTCCGGTTTCCACAGAGCGTAGTTCAATCGCCTTCTCTCCCCAGCCCATGACCTGGTTAGACTGAAGGTAAGCTAAAACAAACAACAGAAAGAATAAAAAGTACTGATACTGTTTAACAACTGACACACTGATTCTTGCCTCATTTATGCTAACATGGATCTGAAGCATTTCTCTTCAATCACAGTATGCTCTGAGTTACTTAAGTTTACACAAAAAGTCTTGGGAACAGTAAGTAAATTTCAGTTTGTAATCTCAGACTTATTTTGGACTCTAGACATAACTCTTAAGTATGCTACTATTGTATAGTTTATGATCAGGAAAGTTGGGCAGAAACCTCTGAAGAGTGTTTAAGACCCACCCAGAAAGCAGGGCCAAATAAGACAAGGTTACTCAGGACCTTGCCCAGACATGTTCTGGCATGTTTCATAGCTGCTGCAATCCATCACTACTTTCAAGGTTAAAAAATTTTGCTTAACACATAATTTGCATTGTTTTGGTGCAACTTGTGCCCGTTTTTATCTCTCATCGTTTCAAGTACATGCTCAAGAAAAGTCTTGACTCAGAATTTTCTATAACCTCTCATTAGGAAGTTTGGTTTGTATTTCCTGTGGAGTTCAGTTTAGTCTGAAACCTAAATTCTTCTGAATCTGAGACTATGGCATGATTAATTTGGTGTCCCTAGCTACTGTCTTCCCATCAGTAGTTACGAGCAACATCTTGAAAACCAAGATACTCCAGCACCATAGAACCTTACTATGTAATTTTGGAAATTAGATGAAAAATTGGAATAGCAATGAAGGAGTTAACACCACAGATTCCAAACTGGCCACAGTTTCAATGAAAGCCCTGGAATTAGTGCTGGGCTTCTATGGTAAAAACACATTAGTTATACCCTATTGATAGTCAATGCTCAGAAATGGTTCTTGCTCAACTGTGAACTGTCACTTACTAGTCTGAGAATTCTGGCACACTGAAATGATGTAGAGGGAATGTGTGCACTTAACTGGTTTTTAGCTTCAATGGACAGTACTTGCGTGCCCCACATTATTAGTGTGAGCAATGTCTGTTCCTCAAAACCTTCCATTTAGGTTTTTGTCTAAAAATTAAACTTTGAGTACACACTGATAGAGGAAGCAACAATGCTTAGAAGCCTACTTTAGAACAACAGCAAAAAATGAAGTCAATATGCCTGAGTGATTGTGTATCCTTCTTCTAGACGTTGTTGATTTAGTATTAAATTGGAACCCTTACTTTGTAATTCTTGTCATAACAAGTGTATGAGAATTGTACCTTCTTGGTAATGTATGATTTGGCTACAATATTATATTTTATGTCCCTCAAAGTCTATAAATTTCCCCTAAATCTGTTTAGTATACTTTCATTTCAGTTATTAATGCCACTAGAGCTTATAGCAACAGTTTTTTTCCAGTATCTCAGTTATGTGGAAAGAGGAAGAAACCATCCTGTTTGAAAAGCAGAACAGTGAGCAACAGGGTAGAGTGGGAGATGAGAAGGGGAGGGAATATTTTATAAACATTTCTTTTTTCTTTATGCTTCAGTTCCTAGTCTGTGTAACAGGACAGTGCTGCTCTAGGCTGTAAAGAAGACTGTCATGAACATTCCTGAACACAGCAGCATGATGAGCACTAGGGCAGCAACCACACTGCAGTTAGTATCTATGAAGGTAGGCCCAGACCACACAAAGTGAAAAAGAGTAAGGAACTCTGTCTGGGGACAGGTGTGCAGTCCACAGAGAGTTTGTGGGTCAGGGTTAAAGGGAAAACAGCTATGGGAGACATTACTGTGGGGATCTGTTACAGACTGCCTGATCAAGGAGAACCTGCAGATGAAGCACTCCATAGACAGATGGGAAAAGCCTCACGCTCGCAGGCCCTTGTTCTCATGGGTGACTTCAATCACCCTGACATCAGTTGGAAGGACGATACAGCCCGGCACAAGCAATCCAGGAGGTTCCTCGATTGTGTAGAGGACAACTTCCTTCTGCAAGTAATAGAAGAGCCAACAAGGAGAGGTGCCATGCTTGACCTCATGCTCGTTGGAAATGTGACGCTCCAGGGCAGCCTTGGATGCAGTGATCATGAGATGCTCGAATTTGAGATCCTCAGGACAGTGAAAAGAGCGTGCAGCAAGCTCACTGCCCTGGACTTCAAGGGAGCAGACTTTGGCCTCTTCAGGAACCTGCTTCGGAAGGTTCCATGGGGTACAGCCCTAGAGGGCAGAGGAGCCCAAGACTGTTGGTTGATATTCAAGGATCACCTGGACGGCATGCTAAGGCACATGAAAAACAACAAGGTGCTTGGTGACAGCCAGCATGGCTTCACTAAGGGGAAATCCTGCCTGACCAATGTGGTGGCCTTCTATGATGGGGCCACAGAACTGATGGACAGGGGTAGAGCAGTTGATGTCATCTACCTGGACTTGTGCAAAGTATTCGACACTGTCCCACATGACATCCTTGTCTCAAAATTGGAGAGACATCAATTTGATAGGTGGACCACTCAGTGGATAAAGAACTGGCTGGATGGCTGCACGCAAAGAGTTGTGGTCAATGGCTCAGTGTCCGGCTGGAGACCAGTAACGAGTGGTGTCCTTCAGGGATCAGTGCTGGGGACCAGTCTTGTTCAACATCTTTGTAGCTACATGGACAGTGGGATTGAGCATGCCCTCAGCAAGTTTGATGATGACACCAAACTCTGTGGTTCAGTTGATACCCTGGAGGGAAGGAATGCCACCCAGAGGGACCTCGACACACTTGTGAGGTGGGCTGATGCCAACCTCATGAAGTTCAACCATGCCAAGTGCAAGGTCCTACACCTGGGTCGGAGCAATCCCAGGCACAGCTACAGGTTGGGCAGAGAAGGAGCTTTGGGTGTTGGTTGATGAGAAACTGAACATGAGCCAGCTTCACTGTGCTCTTGCAGCCCAGAAAGCCAACCGTATCCTGGGCTGCATTAAAAGGAGTGTGACCAGCAGGTCGAAGGAGGTGATCCTGCCCCTCTACTCTGCTCTTGTGAGACCTCCCCTGGAGTACTGTGTGCAGTTCTGGTGTCCTCAACATAAGAAGGACATGGAGCTGTTGGAACAAGTCCAGAGGAGGCCACGAGGATGATCAGGGGACAGGAGCACCTCCTGTATGAAGACAGGCTGAGAAAGTTGGGGCTTTTCAGCTTGGAGAAGGCAAGGCTGCGTGAAGACCTCATAGCAGCCTTTCAGTATCTGAAGGGGGCCTATAGGAATGTTGGAGAGGAACTCTTCATTAGAGACTGTAGTGACAGGACAAGGGGTAATGGGTTAAAACTTAAACAGGGGAAGTTTAGGTTTTTAGGTTGGATATAAGAAGGAAATTCTTTCCTGTTAGGGTGGTGAGGCACTGGAATGGGTTGCCCAGGGAGGTTGTGAATGCTCCATCCCTGGCAGTGTTCAAGGCCAGGTTGGACAAAGCCTTGGGTGATATGATTTAGCATAAGGTGTCCCTGCCCATGGCAGGGGGGTTGGAACTAGATGATCTTAAGGTCCTTTCCAACCCTAACGATTCTATGATAAAAATGATACAGTTCTCAGACACTTGCTGGTTTGTGTTATAACTGACACCACATTCACCTTTTCAAACTTTGCTTTTGAACACACCAGAGGCAGGCACACTATGGTTCTGGGGGCTGGGACAGTGAGGCAGGTGCGTATATATAAACAGCATGAAAGCATTCTATGGCTACACTGTGGAGTATCTAGATCACGGAATCACAGAATCCTAAGGGTTGGAAGGGACCTCAAAAGATCATCTAGTCCAACCCTCCTGCAAGAGCAGGGTAACCTAGAGTACATCACACAGGAACTTGTCCAGGCGGGCCTTGAATATCTCCAGCGTAGGAGACTCCGCAACCCCCCTGGGCAACCTGTTCCAGTGATCTGTCACTCTCACAGTAAAGAAATTTTTCCTGATGCTCCCATGGAACCTCCTATGCTCCAGTTTACACCCACTGCCCCTTGTCCTATCACTGGACATCACTGAAAAAAAACCTAGCTCCATCATCCTGACACTCACCCTTTACATATTTGTAGACATTGATGAGGTCACCCCTCAGTCTCCTCCAAGCTAAAGAGTCCCAGCTCCCTCAGCCTCTCCTCATAAGAGAGATGTTCCATTCCCTTAATCATCTTTGTAGCTTTGCACTGGACTCTTTCAAGATCATATAGGTCCAGCAACAAAAACCTAATGCACTTATAAGTCTCCTTATTTTTTCCACTATGTGAAATCTGCACTCAAGTTGTCGATGTGCTATGTCTGTATCAGCTGTTTTCATGCCTTTGGCAGATTTCAACTTGATAGCATCCTTGCCGCTCTCAGAAACAGCTTAATTAGGCTCTGTTGCAACCTCTAGGTCACCCAGGATAGAAAGCCTGGATCCATAACTCCAGTTCTCCCAGCCGTATTACAACAGGAACATAATAAAATGGATACACCAAGTTTGGCCACTGATGTTCTGCTGGCCAGCCAATATATTGAGAACTTGTCAAATGACAGTGGCAAATTTCAGGTGAAATACAAGTAACATAAAAACTCATTCCTGTAGCAGAATCAAAAGGTTCTTTCTCAAATTACATCCGTGGAATAACTTGCCAATAAAAGGCCCCATTACACCATTTGTAGGGTTGTCAGTTATGAGAATATATCTATACATGGAAATTAATTTGGAGGACAACAGGCTGTGAATCAAAGGTCAGTACTGAGTCTTGGTAAGTGCTCCCACATGGGAAAATTACAAGTGTTTCACATGAAATGAAAGCAGATTAGATACTCAGAATAAAGTTGTCTTATTCTGGAACAGAAGTTCCTATTCTATGAGCAATTTAAGTATGTATTTTGAGTCCATTTTCCACCTCAACAAGCTTTAGTTAAAAACATCCTGTGCTTCCAGCTGGCAACATATAAGGGTGTTTATATTACATGCAATAAAAGATTGTACTGGTTTCCAGCAACCCTAGACTTTAGACAGCTACTCTGGTCCTTTGGACAGTAGCTCAGCAGGGAAGGCATATACTGACTCAGACGGATTTGCCAATACTGCTTAATATAGTGGAACAGTGTTACTCAGAGTTACTTGAAGCTCCCCTGCTTCACCCGGATTACTCCATATCTTAAAAGACCTACACTCGTGCATGAGCTGTAGTTTTTGTTACACCAGCATTACTCCTTGAACATCAAAGAACATATGCCATAAAGTGAGTATAGCAAAGTGAGCTCAAAATTGGTTTCTTAACATTGTGAAAGCATTAGTAACACTCCCAACTTGGAGTGAGACTTGGCATTTCCTGTTTATGCAGTATATTAACGTTAGAGTAGAGCCTACATACAAGGAAGTTACTGCTTCAAGGGGAAATGGTTGAGGAAGATAGGAAAGGTGAAAGAAACTACTGAGCCATATTGGATCCATTAACTTCTGTGAAGTGTCACTGACATGACCTAATGATCTTGGTCTTGCAACAGCAGCCTGAATAAGGGAAGTGCACTTGGTACCACAGAACATGGGTACTACTACAGTATCACTTCCCTTCTTTACCTTTCTTTTCTTTTTTTAACTGTTTCCCTTCAAAAGTCCCTCTTCTGATCTCATGCTAAATTCAGCTCACTGCCCTAAGTAGTTATTCCCTATTGACTGATCTCTGCATGAGAGCAGAATCAGGCCAGCTTTTAGCAAAATATCATAAAATTGGGGATTTCCTGATTAGTTTTACAGAAATAGGGCAGGAAAGGATCGTAATACACCTTCTCTGCCATCTGTGCCATATCAGGATCACTTCTCACAGTTCTTTCTCTAACCTGACCTTAAAGACCTTTAGTGGAGTCTTGAGTGACATGGTTTGGTGCGGGGTGTCCCTGCCCATGAGGGGGGTTGGAACTGGATGATCTTGAGGTCCTTTCCGACCCTAACTATTCTATGATTCTATGATGGAGACTCCAAAAATCCCCCAGGCAACTGACTGCAGATAAACCAAGAAGTTCAGAATGAAAAAACAACATGAATTGAAAGATCCTGATGCACTTACACATGTCCAAGTTGCTCTTTGATACCACACTCCATTTCACAGGGTAAGAGTGCATGCTGCTTTACTGAATTCTTTTTTGGAGAGTCAGAATGCACACAGGTGAAATTCAATGCAAAAAAAGCTACTGGATTATGCTTTTGTGTACATGTTTGAGAAAATTGCTTTGGGCAGGTATGCAAGTGGGCATGAACATCCAAAGGAGAGTATCCAGTGGTGGCTTTGCTGACAGTAAAACATACATCTTAAGAGCACACACTTGTACAGAACCCCTCCTTTAGCTCTTCAGTCAAAACCAGTATGTTCTATGAAATCATGACTTTTATTGGTTCCCTGCTTTATGGAAGGGAGACATAAATGTTGAGGACTAGAAATGGAAATATCTCACGGAGATTACCAGCCATGTCCTGGGATACAGCAAAGCTTGTTCCCACCGAAACCCAGCCTTGAGGTCCCCAGTGATGCTGCTGATCACTTACTAGGGATTGATTAACTACTTGTGTATACCTGTGACTGCTGCCCATGCTTTAAAACTGTCTCCAAAGTTAAGCAATTTGGATTAGGAAAACCGAGGAAAGAGTCGGTAACTTCCCTTGTGCAATTCTGTTGTTCTCTGTTATTACTTATGTTATCTGGATGGAGGTGGCTGGGTTTTTTTCTTCCAGTCACAGCTGTGGAGAACTTTTACTAAATGAGAGAGGCTAGGGAATCAAAGTCAAGAAGGAAAAAACCTAAATCTGAATAAAGTCACAAATGGACAAATTAAGAAATTGGCCAGGGAAGCCAGATGTTCTCCTGCTGTATGTTTTGGTTAAATTGCACTGGACAAAGGGCAGATACAGACAGCTCTCTAACTACCCCAAGCGAGTAGGAGTAAATTTATGTCTCAACCTTGTTTGTTGGTTTTTTTCCCCTAAGCATGTATGTTTCTGTGCATCTCTGTTCAAAGCTTCTCTGATCCCAGGTTTTGCTCACTCCTTTGCAATTATTCCAGTAGAACCAATAACCCAACCCAGAAATGTATCTGCTTCAAGAGCTGGCGATAGAGCACTGAGGCAGTAATTCAACCACCTTTTGGTAATGCTGCCTGTTTTTCTACATAACATCCTTTTTGCTTCTAATGCATACATGACAAAGGAAATAAGGTCTTTGATCCTTACTGTTTCCCCGCTCTTGGAATATCCACTTTTGTGCCAACCCTCTAAGACTACACAGTGTAAATAATTCATTATTCACAGAAAAGGCCAAACGTGCTCTCAAATCTTATTTACTTAATACTTCTTTTTAAATCTTGTTTTATAGAAAGAAACTGCTACAGCAATATTTGTATTTAGCCCTACATATGTGAAATATCTTTCAGATCAGAGTACTCTGACAATTGTAATTTCCCACAGGATCTTAGCTTCCTCTCTCCAATTTCTTATTAACAGATCAGTTACAGAGGTCCCAACTTAAAAACTATGAGAGTGAGCTATATTTAGATTCCCTGCCTTAAACCCATCAATTATAATACAAACTATTTTTATTTTATTATTCTCACCAACTACAGAAGTTTTTTATCAAAATAATTGTTTAAAGAAATCAAGAAACAAGCAAAGGACAACTTCAGAGCACCCTGGGGTCAACACAAGATCTTTCTATCTCGACACAGAGGGAAAATTTTGAGGTAAGGTCACACAGACTTTAGAAGGTCTGAAATGGGCCTGGGAATTCCAGGAAAACCAGATCTCTTATGAAGGTTTCAAGTTCCTCCTAAGTAACACAATTATTCAGTCTTCTCTCAGAATAGTTAATGCTTTTGTCTGGAGCCAAGAATTTCAAAGGATCAAGAAAATTAATAGGAGGTAGTGGGAAGCAATAATAAAAGAGTTAACAGAGATCTTTGTTTAAAGTTTGAATTGTGTGTTGAGTTACGGGTTGGGTTAATTTGTTTTTAATGGAAGTATAATTCCAATCAGAAGTCAAACTGATCTTGTACCACAAAGATTGATAATTTCTGTTCCAACGAAATCAATTTCTGAGATACCAGAAGTGCTGCAGCAGGAACGCAAGGGTTCTCAAACTAACATACTGGAAAATGTTCACATGACAACTGGGAGGGGCTATTTGGAGACTGCCTTGCTCCAGCTGTGAAATCTGCAGAAGTATAAGGAATGAGAGAGACAGATGGGTGAAGAGAGACACCAGATAAAACCTACAATCTTGCTTTCTGAGCACTGGGAGAAGTAGTGCAAAGTTCTGTGTAGCTAGCTGTAACACTACCATCCAAAACATGCCATCTAACTGACCTTCTGCTTCCTCAGCAGGCATTTCATTATACGTGTTCTCTCCTTTGATGGCACTACCTTCCCGTCTGGTGGTGCCCAGTACAGAGAAAATCTAAACTGTTCACATAGACAAGACTCCTTATATGGTAAAATTCACCAGACAGGGGTGCCACCCTCAGAAGCATCTTCTCCATCCTCTTCCTTTTTAACTGCCTTAAAATACTGTAACAAAAAGCTTAGGCAACTGCTATGATTCATACTGATAGTTTTCCATGCAAATGATTATCATAGTGGTGTGCTGAAGAACAGGAGAAATAGCTGCATGAGCATGTAAAAAGACGAATGTCCAAATGTCATTCTTTCTATTAAGATGTAATCAACCTTGGGAAATTTGGAATATCATGCCTTGCACTAGATTTATATTGAAGGATGTTTTAAATTAATTAACTGGCACAAAAGATCAGCTGGTGCAAAGTGGTGAAGCTTTATTCACTTCAATGCCAGCTGGTTATGTGCAAGGAAATTTGTACTGAAGTTAAGGCAGTGTGATTTCCACACTACAAGAATGCTTTACAAACCTGTTATCTTTGTGGGTTTAATGATTCAATACTTTCAGCAATATTAGGAAGGACTTAAACTCTCTCTGGTCACTTCTGAGCCATTCCTGCAAACTCTTCTCTAGATTAAGTGAAAAAGCTTTGAGATCAATCAGTGCCCACTGACAGAAACAGAAAATTTCCACAGTCAGATCTATGCAACCCTTCTTGCAATAACAACATCCTTTCTAAAGCAGGGTGTAAGAAAGCCCACACTAACTCCTAACAGTGACTCTTTGGGACATAGCATATAGTGAGAATAATAGCATATAGTAAGCTTGCTACTTTTAGTAGCAAGGAAGCATGTCCCATAACGACATGCTTCTTGAAAGCTTCCATCTCCTTCAAATAGCATTTGTCAGGGCAGCTTCCATTTATCAGAACTCTTCCTACCCTGGCTAATTGCCTTTTGATTACTGATTGTTTCTCATGGTATTTCTAACATTAATTCAGAGGGGATGTAACATTTCAACATATCAAAGGCCACTAGATACTCCTATGAAAAATGGAGAATTGATTTATTTTAATTATGCCCTGTAGCTCTGAATATGGACTGAAAATTGGAGATGGGATGATTCAAGTGAACACTGCATAATTAGCTTTAACCTTATACCTGTTTTTTGGCATAGTAGCAGTTTTGTTGCTGAAACAGCGCAGAAAAGTTGTTGCGATTTGTGTTCTAGAGGTGGGCTTCTTGCCCTCAGTACTGTTGAAAACCCTCTACAAATGTCAAACCTGGCATTTACTCAGGGGTGTTACTCTCCTGATTTTAATGGACTTTTCTTTAAGCAGCCAGAAGCCAGAGGAGAAAGGTGAACATCCTCTATTTTTCAGTTTCTGCCAGGCTAATAATATGCTTTTGTACAACCTAAGTGTCTTGGGCTTTCTTTGTCTGTCGGGATGTTTGTTTTAAGATGCAGAAGAACAGAAGCAAGCCAGAAAAGAAATTAAAACCAACAAATAATAAAAACAAAACTCTGCTTTTGTTGTTCTTTGTTTTCCCCACGCTGTTAACTTGAAGCCCTCTGGGGGAGGTGAAACAAACAGCTGTCTTGGCTGCAATACAGTCAGAATCTCCTCCTACAAAGCCAACTGCAAGCATGGAGAGATTGAGAATCTATTAGAAATACCTGGGCTGGCAGTTGTGAATTTAAAGTGATAAAATTAAGGGGCAATTTGGCAGCAGTTATAGACCTTTTCACTAACTGACCTCTCTACAGTTGTGAATTTTTATATAAAATGCTACAGGCAATGAACAATCAAGTATGAATTGAGAGCATCTTTTCCCCCTCTGTAATGAACATAATTATCTCTGTGAAAACTGGTGGTAAGCTGCATCCTCAGTAAAGTTTGGCTATATAGTTAAGGTATGAGGCAATAAGCAGGGTGACAGGAATACAGACTGATCCAAATGTGAAGACTATTGCAATCATTGGCTATCTTTACACAAATGTATATAGATCTGTTTACATATTTAGTTTGCTTAGAAGTTGCTTTATGTGCCACACACACACTTTCATATGGATACAGACCTCACAAAGAGGTCAAGCTTCATGCAGCAGAATCTTATGTTTAATAAAGTGCTATTTTTATACATACCTACTGATGCTGGCATTTCTCCCCACTGTAAAACGGTCTCCTTTGTGAAATGCCCGTATATATCAATATAAATGCCTTCATCTTCATAGGTGAGTAAAAGCTCCATTCCGCTGGTATTTGGGAGGATGATAATGGCATGTGGGCGAATAGTCCCCTGGATCTGGAATCATATTTTACTATGATTTGTATCAGAAAATGGACTACAATTTTAGTGACTACATCAATCTGACTACCTCGGCAGAGCAATATGAAGACCTAGCTCATGGCTCATGGAAAGTGAAAGAAATGCCTGTGTTCAGAAAGGCTGTACAGTTTGCTAGCTAGCCCCTGAAACAGGCTTTCTCCCCACCTCCCCCTTTGAACATGACAGTAGGCTTGCAAACAAATCAACCTTCAGTATTCCACTTTATATGTACCAGTATGAACTGGTTCAAGAAGCCATGGAGCCACTGAGACACAATAATATTTACTTTACTCATTTAGAAGACATTTTGGTTATATAAATAGAAAAAAGGTGAAGTAAATTTGAATTCACAACTATTTCAGAAGATGGAGGAAGGACAAAAGCTTCCACATTGCAGGAAACTGGTGCTTTCACTTTCCATGATCATTCCTTATCCCCACTCACAAGCTAAAACTGTAAATGTCACAACATTTACAGTGAGTTGAAAAGTTACCTGGACCTTTCAAATACAAGCCACTCTCTGTCCTTCCCTTCCCATATAAGAACAGTTCCCCATTTAAATGCTGTTCAGCATATGTTTTCTGCATGCCACAAGAACAGTGCATTTCACTCACACAGATTATTTTAACAGCTGTTCAATGCACTAGAATCTCTCCAGAAGCCAACATGTCCCAGATGAAAAAACCCAGACAGTTCCAAGCATACAACCATGAAGGTGGGATTTTACGAAGCATTTTTGAAAGAAAAAGAGGACAGTCTTAAAAAACATTAACAAAGCATTTCCTTGTTTAAAGCACTACTCAAACAGGATGTTAGGTAGTAAATGAAACCACTAAAATTCTTAATTTTATAGGAAGCGTATGACTGGAGTTTTATATCATTCTCACAAGCCAGCAACACACAGATCTTCTCTTCAAGCACATACATTAACACACACTGTGAGGGCACAATGAACAGGAAAAGAAGCACTGAAGCTGTACTTGCCAAACTGAATACACTCAGGCCAACCACTTGACTCCGTGCCTCCGCAACAACTATCCGTAACACTAGAACGGGGATCCAGAGTCGCAGAGCAATTTTAATGCGTTGCCTTGGTACTTGCATGAGCGATCGGAGCAGGTAAGAGATGAAGAAAGAGGTGGGGAACCAGGAAAAGAGGCTACCAGGAAGAGTATCTCAAGTCAGCCTGTTAAAGTCTGGTCTGTTGCCACCACAAAGCTCCTTGAGAGAATTATCCAATTCTAGCAGATGCTCTTTAAAGTAATAAAATACCAAAAATGACAGAGCCACTGTAGCAGCAGATTTATTTCAGGTCTAAGACTCTAAAGGGAAAAAAATATTTTTAGCACATCCCAACTTTTGGTTGAAGAGCACCCACAAATGGAGTCAGCCTTAAATGTGCCCCACATCTTCAGGACAGTCACCTGGGAAATCTCTCTGATCAGGTTATAATTATATTTGCAGCCTGTTGAAAAACTAAAGCTTCTCAGAAGGTTCACTTTTTTTTTCCCTTTATCTTGGGCAATTATGCTAATGATCTTTTTGACAAGTCATTATTCACCTTGCTTAGCAACCAGCTTCCAAGCATGTATGCAGGCACCACGCTTAGATTTATAAACCGATACGAATTTGTCATAGTTGCACAGTTAACAAAGTGACTAATTATCAGATTAAATAAACTGTCCTACAGAACAAATATTAAGTCCTTTAAAAAACCCCACAGAAACAAACAGTACAGGCTTTGAGCAGGTGATTCAATGCTTTGTCCTTGCAAACTAGCAAGTCACCTGTTAATCAAGAGAATTTTATAAATTTATAAACACACAAAATTTGTATGAATTTATAAATAAACAGCCATCCTCAAACACCGTGTCCATCAGAAACACAGGGTCTGACACGATCTGAAGGCTGCCACCTGTCAGGGCAGCAGAATGATCAAGTGCCTTGCATGGGAGGCGTGGGCTCTCATTTGGTTTGAAAACGTGGGGTTGAGAATAGAGAAAAAGCAGTTAAAAAAATAGAAAGGATTCAAGGCACAGGCTGCAACAATGGATCTGGGGTGAGATTTCTTCAGACCTCCTGAGCATGACTTCGGGCACATTGCCTTGGGATGCACGGACCATGGCACCAGGATGCACCAACCCTCTGCCCCTGTGGAGCTCTGTTGACTTCAGGGAGGTTTTCAAGTGTGCACGTAAGTTCCCTTGCCAGGAGCCTACCGTCAGACTGGAGCCATGGGAACCTTCTCTCTTTCTAGACCTAAGCCCCCAGGTTTCTCTAGCTTTTTGGACTCACACTTTGAAAAGAACTATCTAGAATAGCTAGAAAATAAGCAGGCAAACAAACAGCAAAAGATTAAAATCACAGCACAGACTTCATACTGGGCAGCCCCATGCCAGTCAGTCGTTTCTGCAGGGGAATTAATCTATTATCCAAATACAAGCAGGAATTTAGTGATCGCCATCACTTCAGTAAACAGACACACAATGCAAGATATACACATCAACCTGCAATCAACATCTTCATGCCAACTTATTGACAAACTCATGAGAAAACCCTGTGGAATATTTTTTTCAGAAATTATTCTGAATTTAAGGACTGATTTCATGGGCAAGTGAACAGCAAGATCAGCAAATTTAGTCTGGAAGCTGGGTTTCTGCAAAGTCATCACTAAAGAACAAATCACATTTTGTGCACAGAGCCTGCATCCGTAATCATGTGAAAAAAAAAAAACAAACTTTGCTCCATGGTAAAGAAATTGGGATTATTCATGGGTGCACATTTATACCTGCCTCCTCTATCCACCCGTACCGGGTGCAAGGGTAAACATGCTTGCAGTGGATCAAGGTTAAAATACGTTGCACCAATCTTTGGAATGCAGGCCAAATTTCAACTCAGTTTGGATTCAGTGATAATTTCATCAGCTTGTTGGCATGACAGGAAAGCACACTATCAGATTGTAAAAGTCACCTAAATTTATGTAGATATTATTGTGTCTTTGATTGCTTACATCCTAAATTTCCATGATAAATCAATTAAAAATAGTACTGTCCATACAACAGGCTTTCTGACATTAAACCATTAAAACTGATACTCTAGATGTGATAAAAGCCTTTTAACAGAACTTCAGTGTTATAAAAGTATGTGAAAAGTGGTTTTCTATTAGCTTGCACATGACATTTATTCTCTTACCCTCCCTGTCTTTTGAAATACAGCACAACTCTTAACCTGATCATCATCAATACACAGCTCAAAGAACACAGGCATTTATGTAATGTTTTGGAGTATCTTACGTGTGTTGGAAGGTACAGGTCATACACAGATCCAGAGTCCACATCAATAGCATGAAAGCCTACTACTGAGCCATATATGACTTTCAATCTTTGTCCATTTTCAACGGTCAGGTCAACTGACAGTGGTTTGTGATGAAGTGAGGTAAAGGACTGGAAAAAGAAAAATACACTGTGTAACACAATAAAGCTGTTGGCTTACAGATCTACATATATGATCTTATGAACTTTCAAAACTCAAAAGGTAGCTATTTTGTTAAACAGTATGTTACATTTAAGGAGGTAAGTAGCCATCGTCTACTGTGTTACAGGGAAAGCTGAATAATTCCCCTGGGTTTTAAAACCCACCAGATTCTAGAAGTGCACTAAGCAAAACTCAGGCTGAGTACCATTCATGTTCAATTTCCTCCTTCTTTGAGGGAAATTGGCATCAATTTTGTGAACTCAAATGTACGTTTTGGCACAGTGCTGAAACAAGTTGTTCACCTCTAACAGAATCACGACTGTGACAGTTTTATGCCTGCCACCTCCCGTGCATGTCAAATGAGCTACGTTTTCTTTAAAAGAATACTCATTTTATCTTTAACTAGAAATAACTTACACAAAGCAACAAAAAGCCAAAGCAAAGAGTAGATGAGAGACGGTGCTCCATCTGAACCAGAGTGCGATTTCACTTACCTTAAAAGCCATGAATTTGTGATAAGGCTTTGGAGCCCAAGCATAAACTTCCACTGAGTTTTTCAAAGCAATTACAAGGAATTTGATTCTCTCATATTTTACTGTAATATATAAGAAGAACAATTCCTTAGGTACCAGACAGACACTTGAATCAAAGACCACCTCATCATATGAAATAATTTTAAGGGACTACTTGTTGAGGTAGACATTATCCAGCGAGAGAGACTAATGGATTCTGGACATCAATGTTTAACACCACCGATGACAATACTTTGACTGAAAACCTACAGTTCATTTATTCTTAGTAAAGCCACATGACTGTTGACAACATTTACATACTGTTTTTCATAAGATTTATGACAAAAATCCCAAGTTATTTTACTATAGTCAGAAAAAAAGGTTTTGACCCTGCCCCTAAACCAACCTACTTTTTTGTTGGTGAACACACACCAACGTTGCTGGTTGCGAACAAGCTACTTTTGGAGGAACGGAGGTTGTCCGCTGAACAATTCAGTTACACTGCAGGATGAATTTTCATTTCACTGTTTGTGTGTGGGGTGAAATCCCCATGTGCTAGTGTGGGTGAAGGACTCTCATGTTTCGGAGGTGAGTAAGCATTTAAGAGATGAGTAACTTCCCTAAGTTGATTAAGGTCACATTGGCCAATTGAGAATAAATGAAAAAATCATGCACTGAAAATTAAGGCCACTCTGTACAATGTGTTTTCTCCCTCTGCCAGAGACAAGCATTTGCTTTGGAAACAGAACATATACACCCCTCATTTTATATTCAGTTTGCTTGGCAGGGATTTTTAAAAGGTGCAGGTGTTACATTACTGAAATAAGGTTTAGTTCTGGTGGGAGAAGCCTTTGCTGCTTACAAAAGGAGCAATTCCACTTGCCAAACACACAGCAGGGTGCGAAGAGTGGATAAGGATGGACACTGCTCAGAAAATCTCACAGAGACAGAGAAAGAAAAACAAAACTGCACTCCACCAAAATGCAGAGCAGCACCATCCTCCTGTTCTCTTCTACCTGGAGAAATGGCTGTAAAACCAAAAGTCAAGATACAGGAAGCTTCACCAGGAGAAAAACAGCAGCAGCTGTTTTGTCAAAGCAGTAAGAGTGACTCGTCATATGTAAACACAGAAGTTCCTACCAAATGCTTGCCTGATTTTAACATAACTTTTACTTGTTTTTAAAAACCACACCAAACCCAAAGAAAAGCAACTGAACTGGAAGATGCGGGTGCTTAACAATGCACATCTGTTTCTTATTCTTTCTTGGATTTAGCCCTTGTCACTTTTAGAGCTGTGAAATAGAAAGGCAGAAAGATGTCAAGCAAGTGAGAGCCAGCGACCTTGCTGCCTCCCGCACTCCTGTGTATCACTTCTCTACTTAACTTTGGAAAAAGTGCCACCTTCATACACCATCTTTCACCAACGCAAATCTTGGTCTGTACATCACATGCCCTCATGCAGTTAAGTGACAGGAACTATCACAACACTGATTCATTTCCAAGAATGAACGGCCCAAAAGCCAAATAAAAGCAAAATGCTTTCTGAATTGCTGTGGTACTATTTCCAGTGTGTAAGTTTAAACAAAGGTATACTTCAGTCTTTTATGATCTAGAAACGGGGATGAACTATAGTGCATCCAATCTGATCTACTGATGGACATTCTACAAATAAGATTTACTAGCATTTTAATAGTCCAGTTTCTTAGCAGCTACTCAGGGCCAGAAGCGAAGCTGAATAGCATAGAGGTGGAAAACATCAATCTAATTAAAACCTTAAGTAGCTACAGAGCTGTTAAACTGTTGACTGAGCAACAGACCCAGGCTGGCACTCCCTTCTTCCAGCCATCACAGGGCATACCCATAACTGCTGCAAGAAGAGATGGTACCCGAAATGACAGGAGCAAAGCATCTATCATGTAAAACAAGGAGGTTTGAAAGAACTCTGGGATCTTGAAACAGAGCTGAAATAAAACGCTGGTGTCAGAAGACACAAAAGAATGGTAAAGCAGCTCTCCAAGGTGAAAACAGAGCCCTTACCGACTTTGTAGTGCACACAGCCCTCCAGGTCACCCACAGACACCCAGCCTTGC